TCCCATGGGGAGCTGAAGGGCGAGTGTAGCACCGGCCGAATGGCCCATGAGAATGTAGCGGTCCTGAATATTGTATCGGCGCTGGAGGAAGGCGAGGGCCGACCAGATGTCACGGAGGTGGTCCGGATGTTGAGCGCAGCGGAGCTCCGCCGGCGCAGTGACAGCGGGGTCTTGCGGGAAGAGGGGGTGCGGGGAGAGACGGTAGTCAATGCTGATGAAGCCGCGGATCTCATTCTTGGGAACAGAGGAGGCCTTGACGATTTCTCGGATGGAAGGTGTGAAGTCCTGGAAGGTCTTCCGGGGGTCTCGCCAAGCACCACCATGGATCCAACTAGTCGAATATGTGAGCTAGCGAAGCTGTCGTGACAAGAACGAGTGGCACTCACACGACCCAGTATTTGGACACATCGTCAGTGGCAACAGGGTACTCCCAGACGCCTAGCTTCTGAAGCTCATTGTCGGGAGCATAATGATGCTCACTATACTTCAACGAGACCGGCATGATGAGTTCCAGTTGAGGTCGAATTATTGTCGATGGGCGGGCGTCTTGTCGCAGTTGCTGTGAGATCAACGCTGGGTGCAACCAGGTAGAGCACCTGGAGAGAGAAAGCGAGAGAGCGATAAGCCGCAACGCAAGCCACAAAGCAGACCTGAGGGGGGAACGGTTCCGAGAGTCTGGAATTCTCCGGGATGAATGCTTGGCAATGGTCGTCGAGGCTTCGGGATGGTGAGACGCTGCGTCAGGCGTCAGTGCGACCGGTTGTTTTGTTGCGCGCGACTTTCTTCACGGTTTGGCGGTGGTTGCTGATTGGAGTTCAGCGATAGCGAACCTCAAAGAATGGAAAGTATGGGTGGGGTTCCGTCTTGCTCTGGCCGTCCAGTCTCCGTGCTCCCGTCCCTGCATCGGCGTCTGAAAGGAACCGTTTCAGGTCATCCCAACTGGGGAGTGGCAGCCGGCGCACGGAGCACTTCCCCGTCCAAGTTTCCGTAAGGTACGGCACCTGCCCACAGTTCCTATACCTAGGTACCTTAGCTATAGGCACCTTAGGTGGGCGGGCACCTTACCTTGCCTTTTGGTTCATCTTTCCTCGACCTTTCAAACCCAGATATCAACCTGGGTGTGTTGACTCCCGTTGTGCCAGTCCTCGGATAAAGGGGCATCTTATCACGTCAGTTGTCAGTATTCCTCGCTCGCCAATCGGTATTTGCTTCGTCCCAACCCCATCACTCGACAAGCCGCCTCGTACACTCGCTCCACAAGATTCGCCAAATCGTCCACGCAGATCAATCGTGACTCTGGACTGGCGTGGATCTGAATCTGCAGAGAACGTGAGGCTCAAGCGCATACTACGTAAATAAGTCGCGGCCAGCCGCTGGGTTACACCCAAAGTGGCACAGTCTGGCGACGCCATCACATCAACGTCGCTTTGGCTACTCTACGGGTAGCAGAGAGCCGCAAAACGCCTTTACCAACCTGGAACGTCAGCATTCATGCCATTCGGACAGCAGTCCCGTTTGTTGGATTTGCGATGGCCTGATGGCGAAAGGATGCCGGGCTCGGTTAGGGCATGTTGGCCGTTGGTGCAGCGTTACATTCAAGCATCAGACAACCCTCGTTCAGTCGTCCACGGGTGACACCATCGATTCTACCACAAGCCTTAACACGCAGAGCGGCAGACCGGCGCCGGCTTTTCGTCCCGACTATGCACGGCAAAGCTCGCGCATGCCATACTGCGTACACCAACGTCCCGAGTTTTATTCAGGGGGGAAAGACATGAGACCGGCATAAGGAGGAACATGGTGGAGGGCAGAGTTTGATGTTTTAATATCCGGGTGATGATCTGAACCAAACTTCAACGAGTCCCTTACTTCTGCCGAGGCCACAGCAAAACTCTCGGGCTTCGCGCAGCTCAGTCACTGTGGAACCGGACCAGCGAATGTTGAACAGGCCTCGGCCGAGACCTTCCAGATTTCACAGTGAGGAGCCGCGAGAGGTTTCGAGATGTGGGAATCGGATAGGTATCCGCAGGGCCAGCCGCCAGCCCACATACCTTGAACAGGCGACATGCACATTCTTTTTCGGAAACAGAGGCCCTTGGAGGCTGACACGACTGCTCATGGGTAGCGACTCCTCCTGCCTATTCCTTCTGTCTGTCCACCGCCGCAGATGGCTCGCGTCGGGCTCTCTGGCACCATCGGCTCCTCTGACCCCAAGCTGCCGGGGTAGGTGGTGCTGGCCGCGGTCTGGACGCAACTGAAGTATTGTGGTACTTGCTCACGTGCTGAGAGCTCCAGAGAAAACCAAGTCACTCCTGCGGCCGCTCTCGCAGACGAGAAGCAAGACAACATAACCGGCGCTGGACACAGACGGTGAAGAAGATGAAGTAGGGCCTTGGTTTGAAGAATCATTCGACCTTCGTCATCGTCTTCTTCCTTCCATTCCGCTTCTAGAGCCAAGTCCGTGCCTTGACCCCGTTGTCCTTTTTTTGTCAATCGACAGATGCGAACCACTACTTAACACAGCGATAGCACTCGCCCTGCAATATTGATGAGTTCCACATTCGATCCTTCGGGCGTGCAAATTCACTCGTACGCGCAACTTTTCCTGCAAGGCACAAGTCCATCGTTAATGGTGGCGGAGGACGCGGGACCCGACTCTCACACCAGGCCACATACCAGACAGCATCGCCCATGATCCATCACCGAGAATGAGGGCAACCGGGTATTAGATGCCCTCCTTCTCCGAGTCCTGGCCACCCTCCACCCCCGCCGGACCACCTGTCACTGACGGCAAGCTTTTGGCAATCTCCCATCTCCAGCATTCGTAGCTGACGGGCAGTAGCGAAATCTCCTTTCCCCAAGACTCATCAATCAAAATCAATACTTGCCAGCACGCTATTAACCGAGAGCGGAGCGGCGTTGTTTTGTCAAGATGCAGCAAGGACCTTTTGTTGGCACCAGCACAACCTTCACAGACCCTAGGACATGATGGTGGATCACCTAGCAGGCTCCAGAATGTCTCCGTTCTCGAATTACCCCGAATCGAAAGCGCGGTTCTCTTCATCTACCGGCGGCCCTGCTCATCTGCGATTCATCGACACATGCAAAAGTGCTGTCGCCTTTGAGGTAATACGAATCAGCCGTCGAATGGATGAGATGCAATGGTTCCTCGGTTCTCTGACGATCCGGGTCCATCCCCGCCCAGCTCGGGATGGACACCAACAAGTCGCAACACACACAGCCCAGACAGGGGTAGGCGCGTCTTTTTGCTTTTGCCTTCTCGGTTTCTTGGCTTTATTGCAGCTCTCCCGTCCGCTGTCTCCATCTTCAATGCTCCCGCGACCAAACTTGTGTTACGTCCAAGTTGCTTTTTGATCTTCCACTGGCCAGCTTACAACGCGGGAAGGGCAAGGAAGCCAACCCCCCTCCCTCCATGGTTGAGTTGGATTGCATGCGAACGCCGACCGGTTTGCTACCCAAGCTTGAATTGTCCAACTAGACGTTGCCGCTTCGTTGCTTCTTGCTTCCGCCAACTACATCGTTCGGGTCGTCGTAGCCGACTGCTTCACGCAACTCGACTGGCTTGCCAGATGTCCTCCCCCTCATGATGCCGCGCCAACCTCTAGTGCAGTTTACCCTCGTCGGCGTGCCTTTACTACACTTCAGCAATTCGTGCGGTTCACTAGCGCGCATTATATTGCACGGCTGGTGTCCAGGGATGATCCAAATCGCTGGGTCCGACCAAAGATTCGTCTGTCATGTCTAGCGGGCCATTTTCCATGTTTTGACCCAGAGCCGTCGGTCCAGAATCGATCCTTGACTTCTAGCTTGATTGCTAGGCCCATCGTGACGGGGATGAGGCCCGGTCGACGCCAACTTAAGGTAAGTGAGAGATGAACAACATCGGTCAAGCTTAGTAGCTTGCGGCGTTGGTCCGTCAATGTCTCGCGGGGCAGCACCGGGTTGCCTTGATGAAGATTTTATCTCTAGAGTGAATGAGATCTCGGCTAACGACTGTTATCCTTCCTGTTGTTGGAACAGGTTTGCTGCAGATGTCTCAGCAGAGAAGAGGCACAGCAACACGCCACCCCACACTGGGTTGCCTGTTATTGTTGACCATGACAATCTCTTCCTTCAGTCATTGGCACCGATGTGCACATCCCAGAAAGGGTGCGAGGTGCTCGAACCAACGAGACAACCTGCAGACAAGGCTAGTTCGTTTCTCTGTGTCGTCGGGAGGGTACTTCTGTCTACCCGATCATGCCTGGGCCCGGGGTCTCCATCGCTGTGCGTCGTTCCTGCAGCCCTCATCACGTACTATGTGTAGGTACGTGAGACGGACGCAGTTGCAAATTACAGCCGCAGACTGTGGCCCGGCATGAGTAGTGTCAGCGATTACAACGCGTTTCTTCGTCTTCCATCACGCCGGAAACGCAAGCTGTAGTCATCGCTACCGGTCATGAGCTTCCTCTACCCACATCGACCAAAATCAGTCGTCTGCTCCAACGTAGGGAGCCTTGCAATCGCCTACAAGCCTTCACACCCTCTGCGTACCACTACATGCACAAAAAAAAAAAAAAGTACAGAAACTACGAGTCAAAGAAGCCAAAATTCCCGCCTGGCCAGGTCTCTGAAGTCCCACTGACTCTCTTCCCTCCTTCACCACCATCACCATGCAGCCGGACCAGACTGGCGCACGTCTGTACCCCCGTCGCTCTCCACATGTCGACCCTGTCCTACCGGGGCCCATCTCCGGGGGTCTCAGACTCGGCGACCCTCTCTCGTCCGCCTTGAGCAAGTTAGGATTCTAGCCCATGAACCCTTTCAGTCCGAACCAGGACGACCCCTGGCAGTCCAGCACCGTCTATCGTAGTTGATCAGCTTAAATCCCATCGGGCCGCATATGTTACCACCCCAGTCTGCTTCCCTTCTCTTTCCTCTCGTTTGGCCATGCTCTTCTCCCATTGTCATTCCTTAGAGCATCGCAGTGCCACAGCCCTATGGCTGAGGTAGACTTGTCAGAGAGCAATGGTGGTGCTCTTGTAGCCACCGCCGTTACATTCCTTATTCTCTCTTGGTTCTCTGTCGTTCTCCGCGTCTATGTTCGTGCTTTCATGACCAAGGGTTTCCAAGCAGATGACTGGCTCATGCTTGTTGCCCAGGCAAGTCTCGCCTGCCCCAGTGCGTGCAGTGATTTACCCTAACCAGATGGACGAAGGCAATCTTTACCCTTTCTTGCGCTTTCATTCTCGTGGGCGTGCGTGATGGGCTAGGCCATCACAACGTAGCACTCCAGCAGAAGGAAGAGATATCGGCTTTAATGGTATGCTACTCTTGGCGCTTCAGTAAGCATCCAGTCTAACATTTATGTGCAGTACCAAGCTCTCGCCACGGCAACATATGTCCTTAACATGCTCTTCATCAAGCTGAGCATCGGGTTCTTCCTGTTGCGACTGTCGACTTCCATGGTTTACAACTGGATAATCTACGTCAGTTTGGCGATTATTACTGTCTGGAGCACTGTTATCTTCTTCTGGAATATATTCCAATGCTCTCCGGTAGAGGCGCAATGGGACTACACAATCTTGAACTCCCAGTGCGTGTCGCCAAACGCGGTTGTTGCAGCAGCCTACTCAATCAGCGTCATGACTATCCTGAGCGACTGGCTTTACGTGAGTTCAGTCTATGATTTAATGGCGTTTATATGTACAAAAGCAATTGCTGACTTTGCAGGCTCTGATTCCTATCCCTCTTATCTGGAATGTCAAGATGTCGAAGCAGGCCAAAGCTACCGTGATTGTGATTCTTGGCCTGGGTATCTTGTAGGTTGACCGAGCCTCCGTAACATAGACGCTGAGCTAACAGGTCAACAGCGCTAGCATCGCCACGTTGATCAGACTCAAGTTCCTCGCTGACCTGAGCGACTTGAGTGACATTTTATGTAGGCTGTCCATCCAGCCTCGGACATGGATCCGAGGAGCCAGTATAAGTCGCCCACGCATAGATTATGCTGACCTCGCTTATAGTCATGGGAACCGACGCCATGGTGTGGACTCTTGTCGAACCGGGCGTCGCAATCGTCGCATCGAGTCTTGTTACCATCCGACCTCTCCTCCGAGCCTGGCGACTCAGTGGATTCACATCTACCGACCGAACGCCGGGAATGAGCAACATGAGCGGGGGCATGAGATCAGGGCCCATGAGATCGGGAACAACAAGGTCGGTGCGCCGCCCGCCTGGGTATGATCTCGACGACATCGATAACATGGAAATGGGTGGCTTCGGAAAACATGACGGCGAGATCGGCTCGATGCCTCGGGAGCCCACATTCGCGGCTGTATCAAAAGAGGTGGATGGAGGACAGCTCACACCCGATTTCATGGCACCGCCGGACCGGAGAAGGGCGGACGTCGTCAAGAGCGAGATGTACATTATAGAAGGAACGAATAAGTCTGGGAATACCTGGAGAGGAGGGAGCGGTTCTCCGAGCGCATCTTCGGTGGAACTCGACGGCCTTGACGCGCAGAGCCAGCATAGCGGCCGGGTTGGTCTTGGGAGGAGTAATTAAAACGAATTGGAGAGAATAATCCACGACGATGTCGACATTATCAAACTTATGCTATATTTATACGGGACTCACGGCTAAAGGGGACATCCCGCTTCATCTGGGGGAAAGTGGTTACGGCCGCGAAAGGCGGAGGAATCGCACAAAATCTTGGGTATTAGTAGGCCAGGGACTTCAAAAATAGAGAGTGTAGATGTGTTTTGTATTACATGATTTCTACGCGACCACCTCCGGCCAAGATCAATTTGGCCAAACAACGATACCAGACGCTGTGAACTGAATAGCAGGCAATACCAGGCTGGTTCAAAACTCAGAATGGATCCTGTTTGTACGCCTTCTCAGATTCCGCGTATGCGTCATAGGCATACAAGAACCTCTGTATCTCAGGACAGGTCCACCGCGAAGGGAAGCCAGGTTCGGGTCCCTTTCCGGGCTCTAGCGACGCCACCATGACCTCGTCGCGATGTTCTTGCTCTGGGCCATCCATCATATGAAAGTCATCACGCTGGCGGAAGGATTCCATGACGATGCGCTGGCCACGGCCTATGCGGAGGCTTTGATACATCGCCGCCGCCGCAGGAAGTTGCGCGGCCTTCGTCTCTCGGCTGCTCACTTTTCCAAGGAGATATCCCAGAACAGCTCCATCTTCCAGGGACGAGTTTGCGCCTTGTGCGAGGTAAGGAAGCATCGGGTGACAGCAGTCTCCAGCCATGAAGAATTTGCCTTCGGGACTCGCCCATTCCTCCAGCGGCTCGATCCAGCAGAGCTTCCATTTGTGTACACTCTCGACCTGGTCCAGAAGCTTGCGCAAGAGTGGATCCCATTTCGAGAAGAGCGAGCGCATCTCCTCAACGTCGCCCACGACCTTGGTTGACCCTTCGGGGAGGTTGTCGGGCGACAAAAGACCGAGGTTGAGCATGCGGCCTTGCTTGACGGTATACGAGACCCCATGGCCCTGCGGACCGATCCAGAAGTTAACCGTCTCAGACTTGATGAACGCCTCGAGCTCCTCTTTGTGGGGGCCTTTGAGCGAGTCGATAGGTATCGCAATGCGAAATGCCAGGTCGCCGGTCAGCGCGGGCGGGCTGGGACGGCCGAGGAACTGAGCCCGGGTGGTGCTCCACATGCCATCTGCGCAGACGATAACATCGCCTGACACGATGATGCCAGGGCCGGACTTTGAGTCGTCCTCTATCGTGACTTCAGCGCGGTCGAAGTCGACAGAGACTGCTCGGGAGTCCAAACGAATCTCGACCCCGAGCGCCTCGCAGCGATCGACGAGGGCGCGCTGTAGCTCGACGCGGTGAAGGCCCCAGAAGGGATGGCCGTAGCGAGCTTCGATTGTTTGTTGAAGTTCGGGTTCGTGGGCAAGGAGGCGGCTGCCGTCATAGCGGTAGACGGAAAGAGTTGAAGGGAGGGTCGCGAGAGGTGCCAGAGCCGGGTAAAGGCCCCAAGCTTCGAGCAAGCGGGTTGCGTTGGGCGTGAGTTGTAAGCCAGCCTGGGAAGTGTAAGCAACAGAGTGTCTCGTGGGGTTTGAAAAATGCGCACCCCGACTTCTTGAAGCTCTTTGACCGTCTCGAGTATTGTCACTCGGTGGGATGGCTTCGCAATCTTGGTCGCGAGAGCTGTCGCAAGACCCGCCAGACCGGCGCCAATGATGACGACATGCAGAGGTCTCGACGCAGCGGACCCCGATTCTCTACTCATCTCGGACAGTTGAGGGCATTCGCGACTTCTTGTCGTGAATTGAATTGCGGTCGTAAAGCTTGGGGGCTTAAGGGTCGCACAGCGCTTAGACTGATCTTCTTCTCTTTGGGTTCGTCTCCTCTTTCCAACACCACCGCAAGGAGCAAGTGGTGGTAGAAGGAAGGAAAACAGACCATTTCGACAATAGGGATGAATCGTACGCCGCAGTAAGCGCTGTCGTTGTGGCTTGGGTCACGGAGTATACGCGGGTTGTGGGGAAGGCCGACGGGACGACGCCGTCCCTCGTGTTCGTCCCATTAGCTACAGTCCGAACTAAAGTAGGGTAGGGTATCTTTCTGTCCTTTTTGGGTGTCTATCCGCTTTCACCCCGTAGCCCCGGTACATCTGTACATCTGATCAACGCAACGTGCTTTTCCTTTTCACCAGGTATGTCTTGCGGAACTAGCCGCATCCAATGACGGTGCGTGCAGTGTAATCCTCATCTGGATGTTCCTCAGCCCGAATCTTCGGGAATAACAAGATCCTCCGGATCGACAACCCATTCTTCCTCATCGCCCCAGGTCGGAGCGAGAACGAATCTGCCCATGATCTTGCCCATACCAATACTATCACCGCCAACAACTCCCTGCCTCGTTTTCTCGTCCGACTCCTCCACAATCACCGCCGTCGTCAAGAAGTTCATACCTGCGGCAGGACTGAGCTCCAAAGTGCGGCCACCCCAATCCAACTCGACTTTGCCTGATTTGCGGACCTTGAGTTTGCCCATCATGCCAGCTTGCGAGACGAGCTGAGAAACATCTGTAAGATCAATATTCTTGTCGACTTCTTCCGTCTTTGGCTTGATGTTTTCATCCGATTTGGTGAGATCGACCGATCCTCCGTTCGGCTGATCGAGCATGACAACATCGTCTGGCTCGGGCTTGACCTTTGGAGCGGCAGAAGGATGCAGTGGCGGAAGGAGAGGGGGGAATTGGAATAGGTAGAGTCGGCCATCCTTGTCTTGCACAGCGCCATTCTCAGGTGCTTTTGAGTTCTCGTCCGAGACGGTGCCCAACTCGCTCAGCAGGAGCTGCATGTCCTGTGCGATCATGTCCACCTCAGGATCAGCCAATGCCTTCTTGACCTTCGGTTCAGGTGTAGGCTTCTCCTCAGCCTCGGTGTCTGCTGACTTGACGATGCTGAGATCGACCTCCATAGCACCTGACTCGGCTCCCGGCTCTGCCTTGACCTGAACCGCACCTTTGGGTGCTGCATGCCAGACCTTCGTCTCCTCGCCGACCTGGGGCGTAGGGCCAGACCATGGGCCATCTTCGACCCAGAGACTTTCTTCCGCCTTGCCGTCTTCAGCAGCCTCGAGCTCAGCTGTTGTCGCAATAACCTTCTTTTCTTCCTTTTTGTCGATTCGCGCGATGCCCATGGGCCAGATGTTATCGGGCTTTGAGTTCACCAGGGCTGCCGTCGCTTCGTCATCGGAATCGGGTTCTCGGTCAACCAGGTGTCCGGCGAGTCTATCGGCATTGATTCTAGCTTCGCGATGACCAGTTGCCTCCCCAAAGGCACCCCGTTCGCTCTTAGCACGGCCGCCTCCGCCGAAGAATCCACCGCCAGAACCACCACCGCCGCCGCCACCTCCCCATCCGCCAGAGGATCTTGAGCCTCCTACGACCGAGTCAGTACGTTGACCCATGAAATTTCCATATGCAACCATACCTTCAAAGTGTATTTGCGAGAAAGGGCCACTTGCAACGGCAGTTCGGCCCATCATTCCGCCTCTGCCCATGGCATCTCCTCGAGCTCTCCGACTGCGACCGCGGGAACGAGCTTGAGCGCGAGCCTCTGCCTTGGCCCTCGCATTATCTTTGTCCTGCTCTTGTCGAGCGAGGACGTCTCGCGACGCCTCATCTCTGCGGACGACTCTGGGTCGAAATCTGCCTGCCGAGGTACCTCGTGTGGGTTGCCGCGTTGCGGGCTCGGATCTGGAGGGTGTGACGGTTGCTGAAGCGGTTTCAAGGGCCGAAGAAGGTCTCGAAGGCGGCGCAGGAGTGTCGCCGCTGGGTGTAGAACTAGAAGCTTGGCGGCCTCCTCTGCCTCTGGCGGCTCCTCGTCCGCGGGCTCTGCTGGCGCCCCGAGCCGGGGTAGTACCCTCGGGCATTGTGATCGGCTGCTCTATGTGCTGATTGTGGCTCAGAAGAACAATGAGTGGATGAATAAGTATGGTACAAGAGAAATTGTCGGCCTCGAGTCTTCTGGTAGGGTCGTCGAAGTCATGAATGAAGTCTGTATGTCTCCAGCAAAAAAAAAAAAAAAAAAAAAAAAAAAGATGGTTGATTACTTAGCGCGGTGGGGGACTAGGTAAGTAAACGTCGGGCGCCTCGTAATTTTTAAGGGAAGTTCCAGTCGAGGTCCTGCACGCATGGTGGGGTGAGTCAACCACCCCGCGCGGGTCGCAGTCGCAGTGAAGACAACAGTGGGCTTACCAGGTTCCAAGGTATGTAGGTATGGAGGGGTAGTGAAGCTCGTGAGGACGGACATTCAACCAACGTCACCTATTCTCGATCAGCTCGAAACAATGATCTTGGATTGTTTTCTGGATGGTTTTAAATATTTGAACAAACACACCTTCACTTCACACACATCAACGCTTGCTCTCCGAAGATTCTGGTAATGTTGCCTTCCCGGGATAACATGCTTCCAATCCACAAGCGGCCGGCCTCGACAGTGCTCGCTCCAAACTTGACAATGACACAACCCCGTACTCTGGCCGCTGACCACAAGATGCTCTGCTTCGTTTCCATTTCTATGCGCTTCAGTCGCCACAACTCAGCCTCGCTCAGATTGCTTTCCTCTTCCGCGCGCGCCTCTGCAGACCTGAAATCTCTTGCGCCCAAGCGGGGTAGTGCTGAAAACTCGTCGAGGAAAAAGTTGCCAACAGATTGCATTTGCGGGCCGCGAAGGATGAGAGTACCAAACAACCCGTTGCCATGCATCGATTCTCGCAATGATCTCCCGACCATGCCCTGGCTGTTCCTGTCCAAAATGACTGTGTCTCTCACGAGCAGACGCTTCTTGCTTCCTGGGGTCTCTGAAGAGGACCAAATCTCGTTGCGCCCAGACCATTTGACGAAACTCCAATCCTCGCCTCGCGCCGTTCTGCCTTGTGTCACCCAATCCAGCAGACACAGAGAGGCAGTCGGTGCTGTTGTAAAGATTTGGGTTTGTTCGTATACGCTTCCGTCAAAGGGCTGCACAGGATCCGGCAGGAGGCAGAGACCGGCCTCTTCGCCAATGTTGACCTCGAGCTTCTGGCGCGTGACGACGTCAGGAGACGGTGATTTGAAGATCTTGGTGTGACCCTGGGTGACAACACCGAGCTTCGCATGTGGCAGCACACGCATAGACAGGTTCACGCTGTCGCCTCCAACGAGTCCGCCGCCATAAGACAATAGGAACACCAGGACACATTTCTGGTTGGCCGCTGGGGAGGGGGAGATGAGTTTCAGTGGATACTGGTATGACATGGCCTGCAAGCCCGAGAGCCCGTTTGGCAATAACTGAGCAACGATTTCGCCCTCCCCAGCAGCCGACGAGGACTTCGGGAATGGCGAGCCCATGGTTGCTGTTGTTGCGGCGTAGAAGTCGTTGATCGCTATAGGGGCTTGTCAGGAAGAGTCCGTCAGGTCATTGTTGATGCAAGAGGCACACGCGATTTCGGCTACCAAAAGATCATCAGAAGAAGCCGACGGAACAAGCAGCAGAGCAGCATTGATCGACCTGGTCAATGGCAAGAATGAGTATGTTGCTCACCTGAAGTGTCCGTTATTAGGTCTAATATAAAACGCCGAGGTTCTAAGGTTGCGATGCCGGCCTTTAGATTGCGCTGACTTGCATTTAGCACTTGGTAGACTTTGCCTGGTATCTATCTACCTTAGTGGCATTGAAAAGTCAAGTTGCGGAGCACGCACAGTTGCCGTCACCCTGACCCCTGCGTCTTGTTAAAATGCCGTGAGTCGAGTCTCATACTTTTGTTTCTCTGTACTGTGCATCTGCTGCAAGCCATTGCCTCCCCAACCATTGAGCATTAGAGTCACCATACTCATGGCATCTAAACGAGTTCCATGATGTTCTCTTGCATCCAGCCGCACTCATGGCACATTCGGTTTTAATTGCGGAAACAGAGTCGCAGGCGCATCCAAGACGTGACAGCAGGGTTAGGGTGAGTACGTACCTAATGGCACCTCTGAGGCAATGTTCCCCAGGGGCTGTCACAGTGTCCATGCTCCCACTTGACACGACACGCACAGTACCGCAGCTGCTCGATCCACAGTTCTCCCACGCGAATTTGGAGAACTATTGCCTAAACATCTTCAACCGACACGCACTGCCTGAACGCGACATTTTCCCTCGTATGCGCCACCTCCCCGAACCTTCGCTCATCGGCGCGAAATAATTGTCGCGACTGCTGCGATCATTTACACGCTCCAGCAATCATTTCGCAAACACGCGACAACATGGAAAGCGCGACAGCATCTCCCGAGCCCGAGTCCTCGTCGCGTCGCCGGTCCGGACGCGTCGTGCGAGCCCCCGAGAAGTTCAGCCCGGAGCCTGTGACCGCACCAAAGCGCAAGAGAGGCCCCGATCACGATGAGGACGACGAAGAAAATGACGATAACGAGCCCCTGTCCGATGCCACGATGACCGATGGCGACAGCGCCGACGAACGTCCCCGCCCTAGGCCCAAGAAGCGATCTGCTGCTGCACAAGGAAACCGCGTAAAGAAACCCGCCACTAAGAAGCCAAAGACCAATGGTGTAGGCCCATCTGGTCACCCCGCGAGCCTGCCATCACGTCCCAAGAAGACGGTCAGAATCGCTGCCGTCGACAAGGAAGGCAGTGGCCTATATGGTATGCAGCATCCCTGGAATGTAGCTCTGCTTTCCATCACCTGACACTGACATGCCTCTGTAGCGGAGGTCTTTGGCTCTGGTTTGCCCTCTGAACACGTTGCGGATAAATGGCAAGAGAGGTATCAAAGGAATGATGCCCTCGCCATTGTCGAACTAGTCAACCTCGTCCTGCAAGCATCTGGCTGCGACCTCGAGATCACTGAGGACGATGTTCGTGACCCTGACAACTGTCAAGCTCGTCTTACTGAGCTTCAAGATCTTTTCCAGGAGGTAAGCTGCTATCACCCTGTCCGATTTGTCTTGTTGGTCAACTCTTTTGCTGACATCGTGAAGGAACAAGTCACAGAATATCCCCTCATCTCCAGGGCAAAGAATACCAAAGCCTTCCGTGACCTTCTCACAGGCTTTTTCAAATCTGTCGTCCGCAGTGTTCACGATACAGATGTCCTCTACAACGACCAGACTCTGATGGAGAACCTTGTGCGCTGGATAGCATCCATGTCAACTTCGTCGCTTCGTCCCTACCGTCACACAGCTACTACAGTCATTCTCTCCCTGGTGTACGGGCTGATCGAGGTCGCTACAACCCTTGATGCGCGCATCACGGCAATTGAACAGCAGGTTGCTCAAGCCAAGAGAGGCAAGAACAAGGCAAAGCTTGCAGAAATGCAGCACAGCCTTGACGAGGCCAACAACAACAGAGAGCTGTGCGGCCACCATATCAAGGACTTCTTCGATACCACGTTTATCCACAGATACCGAGATATTGATCCACGTATCCGGACAGAATGTGTCGAAGCACTGGGATCCTGGATCCTGGGTCTTCCCACAGTCTTTATGCAGCCGGAATACCTTCGTTACCTGGGATGGATGCTTTCTGACACGGTTGCTTCCACGCGACAGGAAGTCTTGAGACAACTTGCACGTATTTTCAGACGTGGTATCTCACAACTTGGCCACTTCATTGACCGATTCCGCCCTCGCCTCATTGAAATCGCGACGAAGGACGCTGAGGTTTCCGTGCGCGTGGCAGCCGTGAGCGTCATTAATGTTCTCCGGGATGCCGGAATGCTCGAACCGGAAGAAATGGATACCATTGGCAAGTTGATATACGACAGCGATATCCGAATTCGTAAATCAGTCGTGAGCTTCTTCGTGTCTTGCGTTGAAGACTTCATCACTACCAAAATGGAGGAACTCGGCGGCCAGGATGCGCTAGATGAAGTTTTCGGCGAGATTGAAGAGGACGACTACGACTCGCCTCGCAGCACGTGGGTCAACATCAAGTGCTTGGCAGAGACACTTGCGGCATACGACGAACAGCTTGAGGGTGAACAACAAGACGCGAACCCTCAAGGTCTAGCCGTAGCCGCCGACGTTCTTCAAGCAAGCGTGCCTGATACTAGGATATCACTCGCTGCTCAGGTGCTCTTCGACAAGGTTCCGTTCGTCAAGGAGTGGGAAGTCCTGTCCGGCTATCTGCTTTACGATCATACCGTCAGTTCCAAGTCAAGATCCAAGAGTGCCTCTACGGAAACGGCCTTTAAGAAAGCTGTTGGTCCTGTGGGTTCTGAGGAGGCCATTCTTCTGGAGGTTCTCGCTTCTGCAGTAAAAATGTCCTTGTTACAGTCGGCAGAAGCTGAAAAGGCTAGGAAGAGGGGCGGACGCTCCGAAGTCGCCGAGGCACAAGAAGACACTGCTCTGGATCTCGCGACGGCCATCCCTCAACTTCTCAACAAGTTCGGGGCTGATCCTGCCACGGCGACTATTGTTCTCAGAATGGAGCACTTTCTTGACCTTGAGGTTTTCCAAACATTGCGGCAGGATTCGACAAAATACGAGAAGCTGCTGGATGAGATCAGCACTCAATTCAACAGACACGATGATAAGAGAGTCATTGCCGAAGCGGCTGCTGCTCTTCTTCATTCTCGACAATATGAAGAGCTTGAGGAACTCACTGATGGAAAGCTTGCTGTGCTATGGGAGAATGTCATTACAACTTTACGTGGCTTCGACAAGACATGTGAGCTTTCCATCAGAGGCAATCTTGAGGCAGAGCATCTCACAGCGCTGTCTACTGTTCTTATGAAAATTAGTGAGCTAGCTCGCATCTCTGACCCTGTCGAGATCCTGGAGGCCGAAGGTCGGGCGGCCGATTCAATGTCGTCGTCGATCGAGATCCTGATCAACATCGCCAACCGCGGCACGTTCGATGACCCCAACGAGGAATTGGACGACTTGGAAGACGAGGTTGCGTCCTTTGCGATTAAAGCCACCCAGTTCTACTTCATGTGGAAGGTAAAGAGCCTCGAAAAAGTCATTCACAGCGGTGCCGAGATCTCCGATACTGTTGTGGATGAGTTATCCGTCTTGCGCAAAAAGTACGATACCAACTTGATCAAGACTCTTTCGTCGCGAGCCGTCATTGATGACACTCGTCTTTTTGCCGCTGGCGCCCTATGCGACGTTCACGTTCTTTTCGGCACTCTGCGCAACTTTGTTGAGCCCACTCGCGGCACCGCGACGTATAGGAAGCTTGCGGGCCTCATGCGTGAACTTGAGCCGAGGCTCTTACCGGAGCTCATTTCCATCTACGACGGTATCGAGAAGAGCTACGCGAAGAGAACGAAGAAGACGCTCAACGAGCCGGCGGATGACGAGGAGCCCATGGATGATGATGATTCTGACGATGAGGAAGACGACGATGAGACTCTTAGCTTTGAAGAGCGTCTCGCTCTGGAACTCAAGTCCGAGAAGGCTCTTTGCGAGCTGGCAGCCAAGTACGTCTTGGCTGTCGTGCAAAAGGTCCTGGACCAGTCAGGTCCCCATGCCGGAAAACTTCGCAAGCGGCTCCTTCGAAATCAGACCCGGCTGGGGAAAAATTTTAGCGAAGTCGTTGCTTTCCTCGACGAGAACAAAGTCCGAGAACATCTTTACGGCAAGAAGCAGGCTCAACGGGCAAAGACTGCCGCGGCGAAGCCAGCATCCAAGAAGCCAGCGCGGAGTGAGGAAGTTGTCGTCGAAGATGAAGAAGAAGAGGACGGGCTTGAGGAGCCCGAGCCGGAGCCGGAAGAGGGTTCAAGAGAAGACCTACGCCGGCGCGAACTACTGGAGGAGGAAGAGGAAGAAGAAGAGCCGGAGCCAGAGGAAGCTCCAGCTAATAATGATGCCGATGACGACGATGTATTGGGTGACTAGCCGGGCTTTCAGCCTGTTTATCATTTTGTTTCTGTGCTCTGCCCACGTACGGTGTCTGGGACTTCTACCAGCCGTCTCCCGTGTCCTGTTGATGCGGACTTCGTGCCTCGGTTGACGATGTTGTGGGCAGTCTTAGTATCGCTCCTATGGGGGGAAGATAATGTTTAGGCTGCGACGGCGAACTAAGGCGCCCACTGGGATGGCTCACTCTACTGGCTTTGCGGCGTTGGAAGGATGAAAAGATGGTTAGCTCTCCTAGTAGCTAATACGACACGATTTCATTGTAAACAAGACATCATCCCTCGTGCCCTCTCGATGTGCTCCAATACGATGCCAACAGTCATTGCTCGTAGTCTCAATCTGCCCAATTTATCCCTACGCCATATATCCTTGAGTGAGTATCCATGGTCCCGTTTGATTCCCGTTCCGTTCCATTATCCACCACATATCTTGGTCCCAAAAAGTCCAAACACCCGTTCCCATCGCTTGCCAAATCCCGCGTCTGCTTTCGTTTCGTTGGGCTCCTTTACCTGCACACCATACTGACGCACGCAGCAAGTAAAGGGCCGGTTGGAAACAGTTTTGTCGCTAGCCCCCTTTCCAGACGGCTTGTCGATCATCTCAGCGTCGGAGCTATCCAACGGTGGTCGATCGCTGGGGGTCTTGTTGCTTGCCTTGGTCTTTTTCTTATTACCGGCATCAATGAGCGCCTTGGATTTCTTCTCTTCAAGATCACCCCAGAGAATGAACATCTTCTCGCGCAGCTTGGATAGCTCATCAGGGTCAGTGCGAAGATTGCAGGCGTCAAGGCCCGTTAGAAGCTGAGCTTCGAGGTTGTCGACCAGAACCCAGAAGGTGTTGTTCTTTGTGCCTGGGCTGTGTTTCTTGCCAGCCGTCGTCAATGTCGCTTCTTGGAGGCGTAGAGCAAAGCGCCACTCCCAGACGCGCTCGCCGACGAAGTTGTCTAGAGTCCCTCCATCTTCCTCTTCTGAATTCGAGTCGGACTCGGAGTCTGAATTATCAGACAATATGTCGTATTCTGTTCTTTTGCGGCCGGAAGCAAAGTCTTCGAGTCTTGGAGGGTGGAAGTCAATCACGCGCACATTGGCACGGTATTGGACAACGGTGAAAGGCAGTTTGACAACAACGGTGGAGCCTTGCACTGTGGCTTCATAGGTCGCCGGCTCCAGGATGTCAGGTATGAGACTCGTCGGTTTGTCGTGATGCTCGCAGGTCACTTGATTTCTGTTAGCTTGCAATAAACACATAAGAAAAAGTTGAGCTCGGTTACCTAAGGGGTTAAGGTCAGGGAGAGGAGCTGCAGCTGGCAATGCAGGTTTCTCGTCCCCCTTTGCCTTCTCGGCCAACTGCGCTCGTTGAAGCGCTCGTCTCTGCTTTGAGTTCAAAGGTTTCTCTGCTTGATCAGGTGCAGACCGCTTTTTACTCGTCCTCCCAATGACCGAATCGATCTCCTTTTTTTGAGCCTTGAACTCTTTTTCGTAATTGCGTTTTCTCCGTATCGCGTTCTTGAGGGCAGGATGGACATTTTCCGGGTCCTCTTGTGGATCAAGAACCTCTATGGACATTTTTCTGGCGAAGTCGGTGCGGTCTTGACGGAGGAAGCCTTCCAAGTTCAGTCCGTTGTTCCCAAATTTGATCTGGATGTTCAAAAGATGAACCCAATCGCCGCACTTGACTTGAGAGCGGATAAGCGATGCGTGTGGCTCGTAGCACGTTATCTGTATGCACCTTTTGCCAAAGGGACCTGCCCAATCGACCTGCGCATTAGGATTGCCTGCCTTTCCCGAAGTGTAGCCGTAGGGATCTCCGTCTCTCCCTCCGTCCTGCGTCTGACCCTTCCAAGCGTGATTATAGAAGGACGTATTCTCGGTGTAGTCAGACACATACAGCGTGACCTTGTCACCAGAATCAAATGGTTCTTTAACAACTTGGACGATCAGGTCACGGAAAGTGCCATCCCTGACTTCTTGAAGCTCGCAAAGCTTTTGCTTTTCCCCCTTGATTGATTGCGCCACACGAGTTGCGAAGACTTCAGCATCCGGAATGCATTCTGCCTTGATATTCTGATGCAGCCAGGACACATACTTCTCGGCGCCAGGCTTCGACTTCTGACCAGCATCCTTCATAGATGGCGTCAGGGGTTGAGAGGCCGGCTGAGGATACGGGGGAATCTTGGACGCGGGATATACATGAATGGCAGTCGTTGCCCTGTTCGTCAAAAGAGAGAGCGATCCGGAGTGCTTTTGAACCTGGGAATCAATGTCAGCCACCACGAATAAAGAACCTCAGGTGGACGCACGCACCTTGGCTTGGTGGACAACAACAATATCTCCAGGACCGCATATAGGTATGTCTTTTTCTTGTACGCGGAAAATGTTCAACTCAACATCCCAAGTCACCTGGTCCTGGATCGAAATATCAATCAGGCGAAGCACGCACTTCATATCTGATTTTGTGTCAGGCTGCCCAAAGCAGTTTGACTGGGAAATAGGTCGAAAACATACCCTCATTTCTTGTTTTCATTGGGGCCCGGAAGTCTTTGACTACACCGATCACGTCGACGAAAGTCCAAGGCGTGATCTGTCCTTCCTTCATGAACTTTGCCAGCGCAGTGAAGCCCTTAGGAAGGTCCATGTCGGCATTTGTCTCGGCCATGTTGGCTGTTCTAGAGAGGAGAGGTAGGAAACACAAAGGAGATAGAATCGTTCGAACAAGATTAGTTGATTATTGGTGGTGGCCCAGTATCGTCATCGCCGACGACGACGAACGCCTGTTGTAAGGACCAGGATGGTGTTTTGTGTAGTGGTTCGGTCGTTGACTTCCTCCAAACGCGTGTCGGTGGCTTGAGGGCCTGTGAGACGCGCTGAGGTACCCCACCAAATTGGATGTCACTTCGCGAGACCATGTGCTTCGCTGGTGGAAGGTGCAGTTACTTGCTCTTGCCACAGCCACCCAGCCTGGCCTGTGCGTGTAATGGAAGCAATGGAATTACCCAAAAGTTCGACTTGCGCTCTTGGTAGTGTTTCCATCTCCACGCCCAACGTATTCCAGGCAGCAGAACATCTGGAAGCAGCAAAGATTAGGGCTGCAGGTACGCTGATGTCTTTTCCTCCGCCTTCAAGTAGGTCTCTCTTCCAGAACAGATATAGAACAACAGATAATGCGTCAAATGCAAAGATGAAGCAGACGCATCAAGGCACGCGGAACCTTGAAGGGCAAAGCTTTCAATCATTATCTTGAGAAACAAGTGGTGCATAGATGTAGACACCGGGCACCTTTGAGGCCTGGAAGCCAACCGTCCTCAGCGTCTTACTCAGTCTGGGAAGGTAAGTCCGTCATCGACCTCCAGAGGTGATGTGGAAAGAAGTACCTGCCTAGCATTTCATGACATAATCCCCTAGGAAACCAGGCTAAGCAAAGAGAGGCAGCGCCATTGTGGGGTCACAATCTCTTACAGAGCTACTCGTCTTACTACCTATCCAATTGAACTGCCTCCCCTGACTCAGCTAATGAGAAGCATCTGGAGAGCCAAAGCCCGCCATTGTACAGTGTGCCTCCCCACCTAACAGGAGAAGGAGAAAAAGAAGGAAAAAAGACTTCAGTGTTCGCTTGCGGCCTCATAAGCCGTACCGGGTACCTTAGGTAAGCTCTCACCCTCAAGCATGCCACATGTCAAGTGTACGTACACAGCCTTAGCGGGCTTGCCTGGATTTGGCGAAAGGCCCTGCACTTTTCTTTCGTCGACCCGCTCTCTCGCTTCATCCTCCCCGACTTCTCCTTCCCCCCATCATCAGTGGCATAAATTTCCCACCCCTCCATCTGCAACATCTTTTCTTCCCGCGTTCTGACACCGAACTCGGCATTTCCAGTTTTTACACACGAGAGAGCCTTCCCACATTCCTGCGCCAGACGACCAAGTCAGCATCTGTCAATAGAGACGGTTTCTTCCTTTCGCCTGCTCAAAGCAGTCAACCGCTACCTTCCCCCCTCCTGACGGGCGGCCCAAAAACAATCACTACCAGAATCAGCATCCATCTCAACAACCACCATGGCTGATCGGTACATCCCCGAGCATCGCCGCACCAATTTCAAGGCGAAGAGCACCTTCAAGCCTGAGGAGCTCCGTCGCCGCAGAGAGGAGCAGCAGGTCGAGATTCGCAAGGCCAAGAGAGAGGAGAACTTGGCCAAGCGCCGTGGTATCGGAACGGGCGAGAACAGACCCGGCGCTTCCCTCGGAGCTGCTCCAGACAGCGACGATGATACCGCTCCCACAGAGTCCCAGGTCAGTCTTGATATCTTTCTCGCGTTTTTGCGATGGCATCGTCGCTGTCGTCGTCCTCTTTGTTTGAACCCCACCAATACTGCCGCACCCTTCGTCTTATTTTCCCCCTCTGTTGCCAGGGCGCCTTGCCTCTGCCCCACTTGACCTTTGCGCGAGTCGGGACGGTCCTCTCCCACTAGACCTGAAGCCCCGCGCCAAACGCCTTGCGTGAGGTTCACGACGACTGGCGTTCATCAACTCGCACAGATCAGAAACATTGCTACTAGTCACCAAGCACAAGATGCTAACTATTTACAGTTGAACGAGGACCTTCCTCAGATGGTCAACGGTGTCTTCTCCGACCAGATCGATCTCCAGATCCAAGCAACGACAAAGTTCCGAAAGTTGCTATCCAAGGAGCGCAACCCCCCAATCGAGGAAGTTATCAAGACTGGTGTCGTCAGCCGTTTCGTCGAGTTCCTGCGCTCCCCCCATACCCTGGTTCAGTTCGAGGCTGCCTGGGCCTTGACCAACATTGCTTCCGGCTCTGCCACGCAAACCCAGGTCGTTATTGAGGCCGGTGCGGTCCCCATCTTCGTTGAGTTGTTGGCCAGCCCCGAGCCGGATGTACGGGAACAGGCCGTTTGGGCTCTCGGCAACATTGCCGGCGATAGTCCTCACTGCCGCGACTATGTCCTTAGCTGTGGCGCTTTGAAGCCTCTGCTGGCCCTGCTCGGCGATAGCCGTAAGCTTAGCATGTTGCGCAACGCAACTTGGACTCTGAGCAACTTTTGCCGTGGCAAGACTCCTCAGCCCGACTGGAACACCGTACGTAGCCTGGCACTAATCCTCCCGTCCCGTTGCTTTGCTGACGTAATTCCCAGATTGCTCCCGCCCTGCCCGTTCTCTCCAAGCTCGTCTACTCCCTTGACGACGAGGTTCTCATCGACGCCTGCTGGGCTATTTCTTACCTCTCCGATGGGTCCAACGACAAGATTCAGGCTGTGATCGAAGCAGGCATTCCCCGTCGACTCGTTGAGCTTCTGATGCACGCTTCTACCTCCGTACAGACGCCCGCTCTCCGTTCCGTGGGCAACATTGTCACCGGTGACGACGTCCAGACGCAAGTGATCATTAACTGCGGTGCCCTGCCGTGCCTCCTTTCGTTGCTTAGCTCCAACAAGGATGGTATTCGCAAGGAGGCCTGCTGGACGATTTCCAACATCACCGCCGGTAACTCCGCTCAGATTCAGTCGGTCATCGATGCCAATATCATTCCGCCTCTTATTCACCTATTGTCTAACGGTGACTTGAAGACCCGCAAGGAAGCATGCTGGGCGATCAGCAACGCGACATCGGGTGGTCTGCAGAAGCCGGAGCAGATCAGATACTTGGTTTCTCAGGGCTGCATCAAGCCGTTGTGCGACCTTCTTGCCTGCCCTGACAACAAGATCATTCAAGTCGCTTTGGATGGATTGGAGAACATCCTTAAGGTCGGCGACCTCGACAAGCAGGCTGCTGGTGAAGGTCCTGACTCGATTAATCGTTACGCCTTGTTCATCGAAGAGTGCGGTGGCATGGAGAAGATTCACGAGTGCCAGACCAACGCCAACGAGGAAATCTACATGAAGGCCTACAACATTATTGAGAAGTACTTCTCGGACGAGGAGGAGAATGCGGACGAGGGCATGGCTCAGACGGCCGGTCCTAACGGCACGTTCGGTTTCGGCGCCAACGCTGCTCCCCAACAAGGCGGCTTCAGCTTCGCTAACGGCGGCGATTCGATGGACATGTAAAACTCCAGATTGTTAGCGCAACCCGATGTGCTTTTGCTGCTTCAGCAACTTGCCTTTGGATTCGACCCAAATCAGCACCCACACCCCCCAGCCCCCAGCACTATCTGTCACTCACCCACACCCCTTTCTGCCAGCGGCGCATTACATTTATTGCTGGACTGGCAGTCAAACACCTTTTCCCCCACCTACACACAACACACCTGCAATCGGCGTTCTCTAATATGGCTTGATGGAAATGATTGGAAGACGTTCCCAGTTGAGAGATGACAGGCCCTTTGGTAGCTTCAAAGCTCCAGCCTGAGAAAGAGGAAGAAGGCGAGAGGAAGAGAGAAGAACGCGGATATGGGCCGAAGGACGAGGCCCAGCAGACACGGGTGACAGACCTGATAGCTTAAAGCTCCAGGCCGGAGTCTGACTGGCCCACAACGCCACATGTGGCCATTGAGGCGGACTTGTACACCACGCGGGAGTTGGCCACGACGCCAGCGGCGACGAACGCGGATGGACGGCGGTACAAGAAACGGGTTGAATGGTGCTAGTGCATCTCAACTCGGGACGAGGAGTTCGGGCTGCACGACTTGCTGCCGGGGCCAAGTGGCATCTGGCTCATAGCGTTCGTAGCAAGCAATCCGCACAGCGGAATCAATGTCAATTCAATCGACAGTGAAAGTATTACTGTGCACGTTATATGCGTTCCTAGTGACCCCTTTTGTGACTTTGACAGGGAAATCTGCTAGGCGGCGCATAGTGATTAGATACACAACTTTGCGTGAAACGGCGATAGATGCATCCTGAAATGCGATGAACGTAGGATGATTGCCGTTGTCGTACTATGCATAAACCTACCTGTAGGAATGTGCTGCGATTTGAGGTGCAGGGGTGGGCTTGCGAACGCCCCGCCACTGAAGCGCCGTCCTCATTGAACCCAACCTACCTCGGGATCCCGCAAAAAGGTGCACGGCTGCTACTCTTACTGCCTATGCGTTACAGGTACACCAACATTGGCAATCCCAAGGTACATTTGCGCTCAGCCCTGCCTCATCGCCAAACTCGGTTCTAATTCTTCTCCCACCCACGACAGTACTCAACGCGAGCTCCGTAGCATGCGTAATCGCGCATTCGAGGCGACGCCAACCAGCAGCACTTGATGCGCCCGACACCTAGCGACAGCCGAGTTGCACGATGGACGGTCGCGTAATCCGAGGCGTCCAGCGCGCCGCGCTGAAGCAGTGGAACGAGTTCATTGCCAAGAGTCTTGCAACTCGTCTGGATCCCGACAAATTCGAATCATACGTCCCTTTCCTTCAGGCGAAACACCCGCTTTCTCCCTCCGTCGTTGCCGATCTGTTCCTGCGGCCCCAGCCTCACAACCATGAGAGCCTCGATCCTCGAGTTCCACGCTTCCTCCAAGTACTGTCTGACCTCAACTACATCGACACGCCTTCTATCTTAGAGGCTCTATATAAGTACTCTACTTCGCGTGCGCACTCTAGAGAAGCTGCGCAAGCTTCGAATGGCGGCAATCCTACATCTCAGACCCTGCGATGGGCGAGCTCGTACTCGGCAGAGGAAGTCATGTTCTATAGACTTACGAAGTCTGTAGCTCAAGGTACAGCGATACCGAATACCGAGACTGGCCTTGCAATCGCCAAGATTATGGCCAGTTGGATTGCTCTGTTCACCGACGCCGCCACGGCCTTCACGGTCGACGTCATGGGCCAGCTGCAAAACAGCCAGGCGAGGGAAGAAATGGAGTCGGCGCGAGCTGCCTTTGTAGCCTTGCTCCTTGGAGTATGCGAAAATCACACAGTAATGAAGGCTTTTGGAAGCCCCGAGGCAAAAAGTAAGCATAGCCGGAATCTGTGCCCCTAGGAATTCGACTGACTGGTATAAAGACACCAGGAAGGCCCTGTCCGAGAGTCTAGCAAACTTCGTGCCTACGATCATGCAGAACGCCGGACCTATAGCAACTCGTCTGGACATGTTTCGTACAAGCACGCTAGCAGCGTTTGAGCCTGTTGATGAGCAGAAGAACACATCAAATGTCGAGATAGAAGACCTCTTTGATTCCTCTGTAGCACTTGAAAACTTCGTCATTTCCGAACTGCCAATCGTTAACTCGAGAGCGGGCCTATATATATATCTGAATGCTGCGGTTAGTACATGGTCGTTGTTAACAGTGAAGATGCTGACAATCATCTTTATTGTAGCTCGTTGGACGGCCACTGATCGACGATATGTCCATCTTCAACTATCTGAACAACAGATATCAGGTAATGCCAAATGGCACTATGTCATGCGCAAGTGCTGACGCTGCGAGTCTTAGGGAGACGTACAGACAACCACTATTGACCTCATATTAGCCTCGTTCGATGTGTTGGCCAATGCTGTTTCTCGAAATGAAGGCAACTCGGCTGCTCCTCTCCTTCGTTCATTTCTCATGAACAAGCTGCCTCTTCTTATTGAAAACTTGAGCAAACATATGTACCCTCCTCTGACGGCGGAGTTTTGCATCACAGAAGCGCTGGGCCGCGTAGACACAAATACCTTTCCCACACTTTCATCTATGTTTGATGAGTCCAGGAGCAACAACCCTTTCACCAACTCCGTTCGAGAAGAGTTCTGCTGGGCGTGCTGTCTCCATGGTCTAGTGCGAGAGAGCAGTATTGAGGGCCTTCTGGGTGAGACACCTTATCAAAACCTTCCGGCAGGTGGAAGGTACGTGAAGGACAATCTGGTTGCAGAGTGCCTCGCGGATCCTGAGCGCATGCAGGCCCTCATTGGAGAGCTCGATGGGAAAGATGGAAACGCTGGCGCAGTCTGCCAGGCATTGACTGAGGTATGTTTTTGCTAGTCAGCAGTGGATTGTATCATATCTTCCTGACACACGCAGGTTCTGGGACAACTTTGCAGAAATAAGGAGACAATGTCTCTCAAGCTCCTTTGCAGTCAACTGGCCCAAAAACCCCTGTCTCTAGACGTCATGCTGCTTTTTGAGAAACCGGCCACAATTCTTCATCCACTCTGCGATCTTCTAGACAACTGGAAGTATGATGAGGATCAAGGCGAGTATCAGCCCGTATACGAGGAGTTTGGGTCCATTCTTCTTCTGGTCATGGCCTTTGCATATCGCTATAACTTATCTGTATCTGATCTTGGGATCGTGTCTCCTGACTCCTTCGTCTCGAAACTGCTCGGCCAAGGTCACCAGAGCCGAGTGTTTGATGAATTATCAGAACAGCAAAAGGGTCATCTCGACGGCTGGATTCATGGGCTTTTCGACTCGGAAGCTGGTGGGCTAGGAGACGAGCTCATGTCGTCGTGCCCACCGCAAGACTTTTACCTCCTTGTTTCAACCCTTTTCCAAAACATTGTGCTTGCCTTCAGCACTGGTCATCTGTCCGAGGAAAGCTTGAGAGGGGGAGTCGAATGTAAGATTGACTCTGGCTGGTCCCCCTTTGCTGTGGCTAACTGAACTGTCAGATCTTGTCGACACATTTCTTCTACCATCTCTGGTTGTAGCCATCACGTATCTCTCCAATTCTCTGCTTATTGAACGGTCCGAATGCCAGAAGGCCATCGTCAGAGTGTTGAAGTCTGTCCTCGAGCCAACTTCGATTTCAAAGGAGGCATCGGACATGCTGTCCTCTGTCATGAACATCGTCGCAAAGCCTTTGGAGCATTCGTTGAGGACATATCAGCGATCAGACCCGAAAAGTCAAGAAATTGAGCCACTTTTAAGGGCAATAAAGGACAGCATCCCATTGTCCCGAAGGACAGGGGCGGCGGACCACGTCGAACTAGAAGCTTGGTCAGGTGTTCAACAACACCAGCACAACCATCAAAACGTAGGCTTTGCAAATACACTCCGACAAACTTTGCAAAGTCTCGTGCAATGGAGCATACATCCGGCCATGGATAGGCCGCCTCCCACGTATACCCACCGTCAAATACTCGTAGCTCTCATCATCCTCGGCGCGAAGCGACTACTACAACTCATTTACGAAGACATTAGACAACATAGCGAAGCTGGGAGTGGCAGCATCGTTTACGACGTGGCTGCGAACCTGGTTTGCGCCCCTGACGCGAACGACAGTCCTTGGGCAAACGCCCTCAACTTCATGGATAACTCGGGAAACATGCCGGCGCCTATCCAGAAGAAGCTGACGATGCGGGAAGTTCTGAAATCGGATGCCGAGAACTGCAAAAGACTGCAGAAGACAGATATGAATCTGGCCGAGATCGTGGTGAGACTACATCGCAAGGTGGAGTCCCAGATGGTCGTCGCTCAGGCCGCAGCCATTCAGGCAGATACCATGCTGCAAAACGATCTTGGCCTGGGCTTAGATGGAGGCACGGGCTCTCTCGACGATGCCATGGCAGCTGCAACTGCGAATGTTGTTGCCGGAGATGGCATGTCCGTAGATAACGTCAGCCTCGACTTGAGTATGGCTGGCGATATGGGCTTGGGTGGACCTTCCAACGCTGGGGGTGGTCTTGACCTTGGGGACAATGACCTCTTCAGTGGTCTCGATACTGGCGATGACTTTCAGTGGGACAATATGGATCTCTCGTAATGGAACACGACTTTTCAGTATCGGGTGCGATGGTGTCCCTACTGGTTTGCATCGTGTGTGGTTTACATGGACGCATAGGCGCAAAAGGACTGGAAGGGAGGGGAAAACGGGTCTTTACATCAGGGCCTTTTCACTAGGGATAGAGAGATAGATAGCATGCTACGTTACATCTGATACCAAGAAATCGCACTCTGCCTGTCCTTCACTTTGCATCAACCCAGCTTCCAATTGTGAACTGCGAGTTGCACATGTTGGTGAGTTCCCAGTCTTCGGCGCCCATCTCGGCCTTCATGTTGGCATCTCCCCGGCCGCCGCACAATCCCCCCACGAACATGGTGGCCATAAAATGGTCGTCCGTCGCGTGGGCTTCGCGGAACTTGGGATGCTTCATTAAACTCGTCACCTTGCGCCTCAGCATAGGTCCGCCGCATGGCTTCTTGCCACGGATGGCACAACCATAGACTGCCTGGTCCGTAGGCACGTCTTCCTCGTAGGCTGGGCAAAAGGTGTCGATGACTTCCTGGCGGAAATCAAGCGCCCACGGCTCCGGCGGGGTGGGCTGGGCGAAGTTGTCGCGGAAACGGAGCATTGGGCCCCAGACGTTGCGGTAAAGGTTGTGAACAGAGCCCCCCGACCCGATGAACAACGTCTTGTGCTTGGCCGCCCTCAGGGGACGAAGCGCAGCGCCGACGGCTACGTGGAAGTGAGGGTCATAGAAGTCGTTCATGGAGATTAGGGTTGTGGGTGGACAGGCTTTTGGAAACATGCGAATCAGGACGAGGTAAGTGTCGTGGATCCAGTCGAAGGTCGGGTCGGTTTTGGAAGAGATGCCTGCTGCCTCCAGGTGGGCTTGGATCGTGGGAATGTAATCCAGGTCGGGGTTGAGCTTGTAGGGGTGGTATTTTTGGGGGTTCACGTAGGCTACAGGTGATTTTCCGGGCTTGGGATGCGCGGAGATGAGCACCTCTCCGGGAGCATTCGTTGCCCAGTGTGCGCCCTGTCCGTTGTGAGTTGGCTGATCAGAAAAGAAGCGGGGGATGGTGAAACGAGCAACGACGAAGCTGTATGCTTACCATCATAATGATATGCTCTATGCCCTGAGCGAGAGCTTCATCGCCACACTTCTTCCAATACGTGGCCGAGTGGCTCTCCTCGCCTAGCATCATTGTCGAACCATGAGAAAAGAGGTGAACTGGGGTCATGGGACCCTCTTCATTGCTTCCAATGGCCATGTTTGAGAGGCGTCGTCCTTCTTGCGGGATGTCGCTGTAGTAGCTGTATACTTAGGATATATACGATCGAAGCTAACGTCGATCTTTGGAGCACTTTAAATGCTCAACTGGAGTTTGTCGTAAAAAACTGATGGATGGCTCGATGGCGAAGACTTCTGGGAAGGTTATCTCACGTCGTGGGCATTGATGTTAGTGGTAGTTGGCTGTTCTCGATAGCTATGCCGATTGTCATTGCCACATCTCAGCCCAGGACGGCCCCATCGGCGGACGGAATGCTCACTCGAGACGCTATATCAGATCGTCCGGCAAACTTGAGAGGCCCGACATGGCGGCAATTACTGCTTCGCCATGCCCCCGGAAGGTAGGAGCGTGAATGGTCTGGGGTTCGCCTGGGGAAATACGGGGCCGGCGGGGCCGGTGCAAAAGACTGGGCTCTTTCCTCCACTTCCCGAGCCGAGACCGAGCCGGTAGGCCAGCCCGCCCTCAACAACCCAAGTGCCGAATCACTGCAACTACCATGGAATGCGACCTGAACACGCCTGATTCGTGTGGTTTCATTTCTGCATGTGTTGATGAGTTAGTCAGCGGCCAGCAAACTTCCCCGGGGCATTTTGCGAAGGCCTCGTATCTTGGGAACCATTGGTGATCTGCCTGAAGCATTGTTGAAGTTGCCAGATTGTGATGAATACAGTAAGTGGGTTGCATTTGCAGACTATTATACAGACGCACAAACCTAAATATGAAAATGAGGAAACTAAGACCTGAGCTTCAATGCGTAGTCAAACACTCTACGTCCACCGATCCATGTTCCATACGCCAGACTGGGGAGCACAATGCTCATGATCAGGCTGGCACCAACTACGAACCCTTGCTCGAAGAATCCCAACCTGCTGTTTCCAGGCTGGTTCGTGGGCTTCAGGGGGGCAGTCGCCAAAGCTCGCAGGCTTTGTGTCGTGATGCCGCCGGCGCCAGAGAGGAGCTGGTCGACCTTTGCCAGTGCGCCGGAAGGCTGCTCAATGAATTGTGGCCGGGACACGGAAAACATTTCCTTGCTGTAACGGAACTCGAAGGCCGCATCGTGCGAGGTGGATGCCGCAGGCCCCAGGAGAAGGCTGGAGGGGATCTGGTTGACAAAAGAAATGTGCGAGGGAAGGTGTTGTGAGAGGTACTTTGCCGCGTCAGGACTGGCGAAGAAGTAGCCCGCCAAGAGAGGCTTTCTATGAACAGTATTGAGACAGCGTTTCGTGAGAGGGAATGAGATGGAATGACTTACTCAAACTCATAAGTGTATATGGAATCCACGAGGCCAGATGAAGTCGCAATCGGCAAGAAACGCCCACTAACCTTAGCATTCAAGAGAGAAGTGTTCCTGCAGTCGTCAACAGCCTGTCGCTATCACTGAGCACCAGGAAAAACTCACTTGTCCTTGATGTCAACCAACTTGAAGTCCTTCGATCCAAAGCTGGAGACCAGCCGCTTCTCCTCAGCCTCCTGTACGGCCGCCCTCGTCTCGTCGCTTTTGTTGTCACTTGCGCGTCGAACGGTCGTCTCCCGCGCGAAGGCAAGGGAAGCGTGCTTTGAGCATGCTTCGAAGAACTCCTTCTTCACGTACTCATTGACTAGAACGAGATCTGGCGCATACGGTGACTGTCCCCCAAAGCCGAAACGTGCGGCTGTGATGGCCCCTGCTGCGGCTTCAATGTCGGCGGTACGGTCGACGATGGCAATGGCACGGGCAGTGTTGGAGGAAACAAAGTGATTAACATGGCTTGCGCTGGGTGCAACGCCTGTTTGATCCACGAGGATTGCTGAGTCGAGAAGCGATTGATCCGTAATTTTCTTTGTAATGCAGAAAGCATTCTGATTCAGAGCTCGAGGGAGAACGCTGCGGAGAATCGAGTCAAGCTGCAGCAGAGTATCTTCGAGCTGCTCGCTCTTGGGTCAGCTTCGTTCAAAACCATGAGATGACCGTGGTTCGGAATCCTACAAACCTCAAGCGCAACCACAGAGCCTGCAGCTATAGCCGCAGCAAGAGGGCTCAGAATAGAGAACAGCCGAGTGTAAGTTGTTGGCCTAATGATGACCAGCCCAGCACCGGTTCGTCTAGTGGTGTTGTCCTTGCCATGAGCTACTAGATACTCGGTATCGAGCTCCTTCCCAAAGTCAAGAGACTCATAGAAGTGGCGAACGGCCTCCATTGATAGAAAATGCTCAACCTCGACTTCCGTCTTTGACGCGCCCGAGTCCTTTTCTTCGGCAGCGCACAGCGCTGCGGACTCCTTGCGTAATTCCTCATGAAGACTGATGAGGTTGTCTTGGCGGAACCGAATGCCCTCCGCGCGCCCATCAACAAGGGTCACGAGCAGTTTCTCGATGGCAGGTTCCATTGCGGCGGTCGGTTGGTCTCCAATGAGAAGGGCAAAGAGGTGTGAATAGGAGGGTAAGTGAGATGGGCGCAATTCTGATCTGCCCTGGGTGAAGTTGAAGCTATTCTATCTAGATGCCCCGAGGGAGCTGTGACATATTCCGACAGTGACACCCTTCAATGACCCGATAGCTCGAACGGCTTGGCGGTACCTCAACCTGGACGTCCGGGGCTGAGAGGGGCGGAAAGTGGAGGACAGGGGTGCTGGTCGATCACAGTCAAGCTTACCAGGATAGGGCAGACGCAGTTCACTTCTCCCCGCATTTCCGACGCAGGACTCGTTCAAACGGGGAGCGGGTTCGCGGAGATGGACGGGTCGACGGTCGGCATATTGAAGCGGCCTGCTCCCCCCTTGTGGTTCATTTTCCAGACAGGCGTAATTGAGTCCAGAACTAAGATTGAAGTCGTTTACACAACTCATCCTTTGCAAAACCCACTCCACAGACAAGAACGTACAGCCACGCGCATCAGTATGTCGGCCACCACAACAGACAACCCGATCACAACGGCAGTCCGCCAGGACTACCTCCACGACTACAGCATCCGACTCACTGGAGGCGTCGAGGAAGCGTACGCGAGGCCGTCCAGAGATGCGCCTCTGCCAGCGGTTGAGAACCCTCCCGATTGGTATGACCAGCATCGCCAAGTGCCTCCGTACAGACCCATCAACCGAGAGCTCGATGTTGCAGACAGACCTTGGGGATCCAACAGGATTGAGAACGGCTTCGTTTTTGTGATGTTGAACGGATGTTGGATTCAAGGGGTAAGAATGCGCCCATGGCTAGGCAAACCATGCCGGCTGGTTGCTGACGTGCGTCTGACAGGTTACCAACTGGCTTTGGAGAAGCACGGGGGGGAAGGTAAACCAGACATATTGGAGGGCCAAGGTTGGCGGCGAAATCTGACTGCTAGCAGCGGTGGATTTGGAGACGGAGGGAGATATCATGGCATTGCGATTGCAATTGTACACTACCGGATCGGGAATTCCGCGACACCACACTAGGCACGAATAGCTTCATCTATTTTGACCGAAAGTGGTTGAGAATCGCCATATGAGAAGGAGCGCATGTGTGTGCATGAGAGGCAATATTGACGTTGGTTGGCGAAACCACCGTAAACTTCGCCAGCATGTCGGAAGCCACTATCGGCTCGGCAATAGAAATGCAGTATACTGAGTTTTCATTCGCAGCGTACCTGTGTAGGTGACTCGGCTCGCCTGAGTTAAGCTGATACAAGAGAAGAAAGAAAAGGAAAGGATGCATTGGCATTGACCCCTGCCCCTTCGCGTTGGAGCTCCGAGGCTCGCCGGAGCACGTCACATTTGCTTCACAAGAAGGGAGCTCACACCTCGTCGTCTCCTAACCAACCAAAAACCAAAACCAGCCACAGCCACAGCGGCAGCCCGTCAGCCCGTCATACACGAAACAGTTCGAGGACAGTACGGGGCGTGCTGTGCCTCGCTAGGTAGGTACGCTCAGCTGCCTACCTACGCAGTACCCAAGGTAGGTACCTAACCTAGGTAACCGTAAGTTGAGGTCCGGTGCAGGGCAGCTGCTTGGGTCAGCCCCTCCCCCACCCTTCCGCCGCCGACGGAACGCCATGAGGGGTCCATCTTCATCACCTCCGCTGTCCACTCCAACGTCAAGAGCTCTTGCCGTGAAGAACGTGACTGCGATTCCGAAATCTCCCCGTCTCTCGCAATAAAACCCAATCAGGACCCTTCTGAAACAAACACAGTTGATTCTTAGTGACAACAATACCACCGTCTTCGTAATCTCACCACCAATCTATTTAATCGCCATGTCTGTCAAGACTCCGCCCATCAAGGACCTCCTCGAGGTCACGGAGGACAAGGAGAATCGCCTTACTTTTATGAAGAACGTCTCCATTCCCCTGAAGGATTCACCACTTCCCATCAGAGCCAATGTCTACCTCCCGCTCACGTCGGAAAAGACCGGTCGCTATCCGGTGCTGGTAACCTACGGCCCCTATGGCAAGGACATTCCGTACGCCAAGTTCTACCCTAAGTCGTTCAGTGAAGTGAACCCCGAGCAGAAGTCAAAGTACTCAGCCTGGGAGACGCCGGACCCTGTCTACTGGACCAGCCAGGGCTATGCCATCATTAGAGCCGACGAGCGCGGCCTGGGCCAGAGCCCTGGTTTTCTAGATACCATGAGCCGCGGCACGAGCGAGTGTTTCTTCGATGTTGTCGAATGGGCCGCTGAGCAGCCTTGGTCTAATGGAAAAGTTGGCCTACTAGGTATATCCTACTATGCTGGTATGTGTCTCCTGTCTAGACGCCAATCATCGCCGGTTGCTTATACATGTCACAGGCTCTCAGTGGCGAGTTGCGGCTCGCCGCCCCAAAGGTCTCGCAGCCATCATCCCGTGGGAGGGTATGTCTGACTACTACCGTGACCGTTGTCGGCACGGTGGCATTTACTCCAATAAGTTCATCGGCGTGTGGTGGAATCGACAGGTCCTTGTGAACCAGTATGGCCGCAAAGACAGGTCGAAACTGGACTTTCCTCCAGATGGGCCCGGAGCCAGGGGTCAGGAGGACACCATCGAGGGTGATCTGCCTGACGACGTCCTGATCGCCAACCGTCAGGATCAAACCAAGGATAACGAAGCCAATCGTTTCCGCGACGACGACTATTACGCCAGCAAGGAGTATAAGCTGGAAGACATTGAAGTTCCCGTGTTGAGCGTTGCCAACTGGGGTGGTATTCTCCTTCATTTGAGAGGCAACGTCCAGGGATATCTCGCGGCCGGCTCCAAGCTGAAGTACCTCCGCTTCATCACCGGGCGGCATGATTTACCCTTCTACTACCCCGAGGAGGTTGAACTCCAGAAAAGCTTCCTCGACGCTTTTCTGAAGGGTGATGATCGCGTGGGCTGGAGTGTTCCTGGTAAGGTGTCTCCTGTAACGCTCACACTGCGCAAGGGCAACGTCGGTTTCAACGATGCGCAGAGGGAGAAGGCTTACGAGAAAAGAGAGGAGAGTGCCTGGCCCATTCCACGTACGGAGTACACAAAGTTTTTCCTGACCTCGGACCTGGGATTGACAGCAGCTGGTCCCAGTTCGGAGTCAAAGACTGTGTCGTATAAGGCTCTTGGGTCCTTGGAAAACCAGCAATTCGTCTCCTTTGCCACTGCGCCCTTTGAGCAGGAAACCGAAATCACAGGTCACGTCGTGGCCCACCTCAACGTCTCTGTAACGCCCGACAATACCGGACACGACACCGATATTGACCTATTCGTCACTCTGCGCCACATCGACCCGACAGGCCAGGAAGTGTTCTACACAGGAACAGCCGGAGACCCTGTGCCACTTGTGAAGGGCTGGCTTCGTGTGAGCAACCGTAAAGTGCATGTCGAGAACCCTAGACACAAGTCTTGGCTGCCTCACAGAGAGTATCTTTCAACAGACGTCCAGCCTGTCAAGACCGGCGAGATTTACGCGGTAGATGTCGAGCTCTGGCCTACGAACGTAGTTGTCGACAAGGGCGGCAAAATCGTATTTGAAGTTGCGAGTGGCGACACACAAGGCAGTGGCATTTTCCAGCACTCCTCCGATGTCGATAGGTGAGCTCCTCTTCCCGCACATCCTTTTCAACACCATGACTAACTTCCAATCCCTAGGCCTGCCGTCAAGTTTGCAGGGCTCAACAACATTCATTTCGGGCAGGGCCTGGAGAATTATGTGACGTTGCCCGTAATCCCGTCCAAATGAAAACTTGGAGACGAATTTGGAAGTACCTGATGCGTGGGAGGGCGCGTATGCCGCAAAGTTTGCCGAACTGCTCTTTAAACCAGATGCTAGGTTCGGGAAATTAAACCGAGCCAGTGAATCCGGGGCCGGCGGCGGGGGCGGGGGCGGGGGAAGAGGGGGCAGCTGATGTTGGACCACCCTATGAAGCTTGTTGCTGTGAGACGTAAAAAACAAGTAGCCGCTGTCGTAGAATGATGTGTAGCTGATACTCTGAATTTTGTCGCCGTTACTCCTTTCATCATTGAATTTGAACGCCCAGCACGCGAAGATGAGCTTCTCTGAGCATTTCTCCCTGGCCAACGTTCCGTACGGCATTGCCAGCACTGCCAAACATCCTAAGGGCGTAGCCACGAGAATTGGCGATTTGGTTGTATTTCTTGCGGATTTGGGCCTCGATGCTTCCAAGCAGGTCCAAGACGCGCTGTCCCAGGTATATGCCACAGCCTTCGAAAGAGGAACGTGATATTGACCATGAACTAGCCAACTCTCAACGCTCTAGCCGCCATAGGGAAGGACGAACTCCGTATGCTCAGAAAGAATATTCAAACCACCTTGTCCGATCAGTCGGTGGTTTCAAAACACGGCGTCCCAATTGAAAATGTTCATCTGCATTTGCCGGTGCAGATTGGCGGTTTCACCGACTTCTCTTGCTCCAAGGAACACTTGTTGAATGCATCAGCGGCCGTTATGGGACAGGCGTCGATGCCGCCCGCAGCACCATATCTTCCGATCGGGTACAGCGGTCGGCCGTCCAGCATCGTGGTCTCGGGAACGAAAATCACTCGCCCATACGGTCAGTTTCGTGATGGAGACAAGATTGGGTTCGGACCATGCAGAGCTCTTGACTACGAGCTGGAGGTAGCTTGCATCATTGGAAAGGCGACGGAACTTGGCGACCGGGTTGCGATTTCTGATGCCGACGAGCATGTCTTCGGCCTTGTTCTGTTGAATGACTGGAGTGGTAAGTAGAGCATCGTTGCGAAGGAAGGAGAGAGCCGCGTCGCTGACAGCAAGCAGCTCGTGACATCCAAGGGTTCGAGATGAACCCTCTCGGCCCAATGAACGGCAAGTCTTTTGGAACTTCAATCAGCCCTTGGGGTAAGTCTTACATCCGCACGCCGAATTGTTCCTGATTGCAGTACTGACAATGCAATTGGTTTCAGTGATAACCCTTGAAGCCCTTGAGCCTTTTGCGACACGGCCGCCCACAAAGGACGTACCAGCGCAGCCTTACCTGCTCGACCACAAAGAAAAGTCAAGCTACAACATTGCCCTCAAAGCCGAGGTATTGGCGGACGGGCAGACCACGACGGTATGCATGGCGCAGCTCAGCTGGATGTATTGGACGTTTCGAGATCTTGTAGCGCAGCAGACGATCAACGGTTGCAATCTCAACACGGGTGACGTTTTGGCTACGGGTACGGTGTCGGGTGCTGGCGACGACGAGCACGGCTGTCTGCTTGAGATGACCAAGGGTGGCACGGTGAGTTGGAAGACATCTGACGGTCAAGAAAGAACATATCTGCAAGACGGCGACGGAGTGCGCATGAGCGGCTATGCTGGCGACGGCGTGGGGTTCGGCGAGTGCATCGGATTCATCTCTCCCGCTCGGCCATTTTGAACCGACAGGGAAGTCGATTCGCGAGGCGGCAAAGAAGATTGACTGGAACTTGGAAGCCGGATGCGCAGGCGGGAGCGCCGGTCCTCGAGTCGAGGCCAGGTGCTCCGAGCCGATCCCTGAGCCCCAGCTGGCCCTTCTCACGTCGGTCGAACTGGTCTCGGTTTCCGAAAGTGGCAGGCCTAGGCACCTGCACCTCCGTTGGTGCGGATGTGTCGCAGTGAAAGTGCGGCATTGGGTTTGACGCAGTGGGAGAGGAGAGCATGGGGTTCTTAGTGTGCGTGACCGCCGGTTCTACAGGAAACAAGAACCAACATTTCAGCCCAGCAGCTCCCGCGGCCGTTGAATTCCGTAGAAGGTTGTCGTAATACTGCGTAATCCCAAATATTTTGGGGGTCTTGCAGACCATGCGTCCAGCTGTAGCTGTGCCTTATCCGAGGCGGCTAGAATTCCCGCGTGCCCAGACAAGCCTAGGTTCGATTCACCCGCTTCCCCATGGGCACCCTCGGCATGTTCGGGGCGGGACCGGGATCCACTTGTCCGAAGTTTATGCGCACGAATCTGATGGCACCCGTGGACCATCGGAGGAACGGAGTGGAGCGCCATGCCCTGATCCCCGTCAACCTGAAAGCTGTCGACCTGTGTGTGAAAATCCTGGTAGAGACCGATGTTTGGTACCTACCAGGTCGGGCTTCCTCCGTGGAGCATGTACACAGAAAGCAAGCTATGCCAGTGACTGTTTGTTGCGCAGGAGTCTGCGGCTTTCTGTCCGTTGTGCATGTTCCTTCTGACAAGGTAGATGGCTTGCTTCCGGTCGTGACATATGTCGAGGCACTTAACAAGTACGTGTAAACCGATCTCGAGGCTACTTGAGGTAAGTAAGGTCAAAATCAGGACCTGAAGGAGTATTGATTATTGGGGGGGAGAAGAAAAGAAAACGGCGGCGGGAAGGAGAAAAGAACGGCAGAGTGAAGCTGCAGTTCTGCACGCGCGCGCCGTCGAGGGCGGAAGCAAGACCGGCCTTGTCCGAGGCGGTCAGCCCGCCAATACAGGGTTGGTGGCAGTACTTTCTTTTGTGGTTCCCGATTCCTTCCTAACTACTCTATCTGGTGGCAGTACTTTAGAAGCGCGCGAACGCTGTACTATGCAGTAGGAAGTGGTATGTGTGCGCACATGTCGGCGGCGGCGTCTGTGGGTTTGTGCATGTGGCACTCCTGCCAAGCGTGCCAGGCCAGCTGGTCCACGAATGCCTAGGTCACCGCCAGCCGATGAATCCTTATCGTGGGTATCGCGGCACGCTAGGCGGGCATCAACTGTGATCCGAAGCCTGTTCCTGACTCCCGCGTGGAGGTAGGGGGAAAAAAAATTACGCCAGAGGCTGGCGATTCCGAAAAACGGGCACCCGCATCTGAGGAATTGACTCAGGCCCCGCCGTCATCCCGCTGGTTTTGTCCATTGTGTCTGTCTCTTGTCTCTTGCGCCTTCTACAGCGTGTTCTGTGTCTCTGCCCAGTGTCTCTGATTGTTCTTCAGATGTACCTGGCATACCGTTCGTGCTAGGCTCGGTACATGTCAATACTCTGAATCCGTCTAATGCGTCCTCTAAACCGAGACCGCCTGACCATTCTGTAGCTTCCATGTTTCCTTTCGGAGTCCCTGCTGCGTGCGACCAAAGACCAAAGTGACCGGCTGCAATAGGAAGCTTCTCAAGTTGTGTGACCAACTTCCCCGGACGAGCCTCCCCAAATTTTTTCCCACTGCATCTCCCCTATCCGCCCTCTACCTACCTTGCCTCCTAGATCTCAACTTGACTTCTTGCCCACTTTCCTTACCCTGACTGACCAACCTGTCCCTCTTTGTGTCCATTGAGTTCGTAATAGAAACGACCGATCCTGGAGCGCAACCTCTCCCCAGAGGCCCACGTCGGCTCCAGTGACTGGTAGAGACCAAATCTTATCGCGCCGCACCACCCTACCTTACCTCGCGCGATAACATCTGCTCAACCCACAACCCACACCCACCTTACCTCCTCTTCTCTTACCCAGGTTAAGGCAGGGTCCTCAGTTCTCAGACGATTTTCCTCGTGCCTACTGCATCACCTTCTTCTTGCGAATCCAATCTGTCCAAGATGAGCAAAGCAGCGGCCGTCAAGGAGGCCGTCAAGGAGAGTCTCCTTGGCGCTGAAGAGCCCGTCCAGTTGTCCGCCCAGACCAAAGCCAGATTCGTCGCCAATGCTGTCAAGGACGAGGCATCAGGGGAGCTCTTAATGGGCCCTGAGAAGTTTATTAACGCTGTTGCGCCTACTGACGAGGACTATGTGAGCTTTCCCCTTCTCCTGATCTTCTCCACCTTGAATGCTGTCCCTTCGCGGAATTCCATGTCATGAAGTTGGACGAGAAGCTGTCTCCGATATTCCTCCGATACACCACGCGATCGTTCGCTAACTCCATCGCCCACCGCATAGCACAAAATCAAGCGTGAACAGTACGGCATTCTCTTTGGCGTCGCCGACCGCAAGGGTGCAGGCAAAATAACTCTTTCCGAATGGGCCGCCTTCGAGAACCTGTTGATGAAGCCCGACGCCGAGTACGAGATCGCTTTTCGCCTTTTCGACGTCGACAGAACCGGCAACGTCAAGTACGAAGACTTTCGAAAGCTCTACGAGCTGAACAAGGGACCCGACAGTATTCCCTTTGACTGGGAGTGCGAGTGGGCCAAACTGTACATTGGCAGCAAGAAGAAGCGTCACCACATGGACTACCCCCAATTCTCCCAAATGCTGCGCGGTCTCCAGGGCGAGAGAATTCGCCAGGCCTTCCAGCAATTCGACCAGGACGGCGATGGCTTCATCGACCCCGAAGATTTTGAGCGCATCATCCGCGAAACCTCTAAGCACAAGCTGTCTGACCACTTGCTCGAGAACCTATCGACCCTGTGCAACATTTCCCTCGGCAGCAAGGTCTCGTATGCCAATGTGCGCGCTTTCCAGAACATGATTAAGGAGATTGATCTCGTCGAGCTCATTGTGCGCCGTGCTTGTGCTAAGAGCCCGGATGGCAAGATTACCAGGACAGAGTTCCTGAACCAAGCCGCCAAGATCACTCGGTTCTCCCTCTTCACTCCCATGGAGGCCGACATTCTTTTCCACTTCGCCAGCCTCGACGAGCCCTCGGGTCGTCTCGGACTTGCCGATTTCGCCAAGGTACTTGATCCCTCATGGAGAAACGCCCTATCCGAGGTCGACGATGCGGCTCAGAAAGCAATTGCCAAGGGCGCCTCAGCAAGCAAGGCGCTTCTTGGTCGGGTCCTCGAATCCGGCTACAACTTCGGCCTTGGCAGTTTGGCCGGCGCCTTCGGTGCCTTCATGGTGTATCCCATCGATCTCGTGAAGACGCGCCTGCAAAACCAGCGAGGTGCCAGACCAGGCGAGAGGCTGTACAAGAACTCAATCGATTGCTTCCAGAAGGTATGGAGAAACGAGGGTTTGCGCGGTCTGTACTCCGGTGTTCTGCCTCAGCTTGTTGGTGTAGCACCCGAGAAGGCCATCAAGCTGACGGTGAACGACCTTGTTCGTGGCCACTTTACCAACAAGGAGGGCAAGATTTGGTACGGCCATGAGATTCTTGCCGGTGGCGCTGCTGGAGGTTGCCAAGTTGTAAGTCTCCCCCATAAACGCACACATCTGGGTTCGCATCGGTCCTGACATGATTCCTTTTAGGTCTTTACCAACCCTCTGGAGATCGTCAAGATTCGACTCCAGGTTCAGGGCGAGGTCGCCAAGACTGTTGAAGGAGCCCCGAAGAGATCCGCGATGTGGATTGTCCGCAACTTGGGTCTCGTTGGTCTTTACAAGGGCGCTTCTGCATGTCTTCTGCGTGACGTTCCCTTCTCCGCCATCTACTTCCCAACCTACAGTCACCTGAAGAAGGACATGTTTGGAGAGTCGCCTACCAAGAAGCTGGGCGTCGTTCAGCTGCTTACTGCCGGCGCCATTGCCGGCATGCCGGCCGCCTACCTCACCACGCCTTGCGACGTCATCAAGACCCGTCTCCAGGTCGAAGCTCGCAAGGGTGAGGCCACATACACCGGTCTCCGTCACGCAGCCAAGACCATCTGGAAGGAAGAAGGCTTCCGTGCTTTCTTCAAGGGTGGTCCCGCCAGAATCTTCCGCTCATCTCCCCAGTTTGGTTTCACCTTGGCCGCGTACGAGGTTCTGCAGAGCGTCATCCCTTACCCCGGCTCGTCAGACTCTATGAAGGTTCACACTGGTGTTGGGGAAGCTGTGTCCACGTTGAGGGAGAAGATTGACACCAGCCCCTTTGCGCGCAGCCGCAACGCCCTGAAGATTATCCTCGATATCGACGAGGACTTTGGTAAGGTTAAGGTGCCCAGCCAGGAGTCTTGGAAGAAGCTTCCTGCGTTCATGCAGACCAACGAAAACGGCTCTTCATGAGCGGCCTCGACCGAAATTCTGGACCTAAAATTCAAATGATCAGACAGTGCACGGCCTAAGAAAGAGCAGGCAGGTGTGTCTGGCTGAAAGGAAGGATTAGTCACATATCGCATATACGGCCGGGGAAAAAAGTTCTAGAGCATAAAGCAAGACCAGAACAGAGACGACTCTAGAGCGGAGAAAAGTTGGGAGGCACCTTGCGAGACTGCATATTCCCCCGACGGCGTTCAGGGGCAGGCATACAAAGGGACATCGGCATTTGTTTTTCTTTCTTCCTTTCCTTCCTGTCCTGTGCAGTCCTTCTGGACGTTGTTTGCAAGTGGTTGGTATACTCGCGTTTCTTGTTGAGCTTCGCTGCGCCTGGCATACCGTGGTTGGAGACAAGGCTACAGTAGAGGTAGACTTCTAGACTTCTTCCAGAGGAGCGTGTTTAGACTGTTTCGTATTTTGTCTAGATATGTATGAAATATTTACTACTGCTCACAGATGTGTGCCGGTAGCACAATATGCATGCTCCAAGCTTCGCAGGCTGTCCGGCACATTCAGCAAGAACGCAGGGGTTTGTACTCAGAAATAGGTATCGTTCTATTCTCTTAAGTAATCAAGATATGCCGAATAGCAGTCAGTATAAAGTCGTACCAAAAGCAAGTGTCTAGTCTAGTCGTTGGTGTTCTTCATCGTCTGCACGAAGAAGGGAATCCCTCTCCTCGGCCTTACCATCTGAGCCGCGGTACAGTATATAGTGTTGAGTCATGAAAACTAGGTCGTAAACCATGGACACGTTGCCCAGGGCGAACTTGACGGGGTTACCAGTGATGCCGGACCAGTCGCCCTGCAAATACGAGTCGATGGCCTGCTGGGCGCAGGACAACAGGCCACCAGAGAAGTCAAGCAGAATCTGCCAAATCGACCAACCCTTGGTCGACTTGTTTCTGTAGTTGGTGATGACTTGCGGGGTATACTTGATCAACGTGATAACCAGCTTGACGTAAGAGATGGCATACACCACATCGAGAGCACACCAGCTCGTCCGCGGGTCACCGTCGCTAGGGGCCCCGGCGACGATGAATGCGACGAGGATAACGCCCACGACGCAACCAAATGCGATGCCCGTGATGAAGCGGCTGGGCTTGGTGCCCGCGGCAGGGGAGAACCCCCAGAGACTTGGAAGATACTGGCTGGTTGTGATGCAGGAGAGGAGAAGGGCGTGAGCGGCGAAGGTGATATCGTTGAAGGCGACGGTCGGGGTAAGGCCATGGTTGCGTGCGGCGTACTGGGAGCGGACGACGGGAGAATAGTAGAGGCAGGAGTTAGAGACGAGGTATGCCAGAAAGCCTGAAGATCACGGATTAGCCACCCTGTCGCGTTGCGCCAGAGCTCTTGAGGAGCCTGCAACGTACCGAGGCAATTGATGAGAGGAAAGTCGACTGTCGTGCCAGCCGTGGTTTTTCTTGTGAAGTTAAGAAGAGGCTGCGGATAAAAGGACCCGGACCAGCAGAGGAAGTAGATCCAGCCAAATACGGCAGACAGGAAAGGGAGGAATTCGAACGCCATTCTCAGGGTCGCGTGATAATTGGCTGTGGGCTTTCCAGTTCACCTGATCATTCGAAGTAGAGTCGCGATGCGTTTCCCAAGCCCTTCAAGTCAGCCAGCCAACCTGCAAGTCCTGAAATCGAAGGGGTGTGTGAAAGAACGGGATGGGTGGTGATCAAAAGGAATGAACGGCCAAAAAGCAAATGGGATGTGTTGCGCGAACAATTGCGACATGGGACCTAGAGTCTCGATAGGGATTAGCTTCGTCGCTGCTTCATCGACCGCAGGTCCGAGCAGGGACCCGAGCTTATTGTGCATGGAAAACTCAGTGGCCGTTCCTGGCCGCTGCCCGTTAGAGCAGCGGCTCTCATGACCAGGAGGCCGGTAACGAGGTCGCCTTGATAGGCCGATCGCGCCCAGACAAGCTCCAGTGTCTTCCCGGGGCGTATACTCCACTGAGGGGCGCCTGAATTCGGGGATCAAGGTGGAGCAGATTTCTGTGTTGTCACCGCGGGGTGTGATGTCGCCATTGTAACGCGCCCTCACCCCTTGTCGGAGCCTCTCCTGCCTTTATCCTTTTCCTCCTTTCTTTGTGATTTGCATCGTCAGGTTGTTGGATGCGATGAGATTTTGAAGTAGAGGAGCCGGGAACGTCAAGTCTTGTAGCTCAGAGCTCGAGCAATGCCTCAATTGCCTGAAGAATTTGTCGTTTCGCACCGAGAATAGGCCTCGAATGTAGTCTGCTCATTGAAAACACGAGGACGTTGAACAAGTCACATTAGACTCGGTCATTGCCTCCCAACAAACTCAATCTTCAGACTGTCTGTCGGCCTCGGAGCTCATCAGCTGTTCCAGCCAACGTGCGTAGTCCTCGAAGCCGAACGTGCTCCCGTAAATTCTCACGGCCTTGACACTCCGAACTCCTTCGAACAGCTGTAGTGTGCCGTGATCTGCTCCGAGGAACATTGACTGCCGGACCTCCACAACAAGCTCGTCTGCACCGCTGAAAGCAGCCGTGACTGCCTCGGCGTCGTAGGCCGGGTCACAGTCAAGGCGAACCTGAATGTGGAACCGCCGGATACGAGGAAGCACCCCTCGTTCCTTGACCGGTGGATACCATGGTCGGAGCCGTGGGAAAGAAGCGAGCAGGGCACCGTGGGCAAGGAAGATGTTCTTGGTGTAGAGAATAGGCGAGGCTTCGGCGTGTGTTTGCCGGCTGACGGCAAGGATGGCAGGATGTAGCCTTTCGGCGGGTCTGGTATTCGGCGCGAGTCTATCAGGCGGAGGGTGGATAAGAAGTTGGCTGTATATTTCAAGACGAATCTCAAGAGGAAGATCTAAGAATGTGCATGATGGAGGCATCGTTGATGATTTGCGGAGGGGAAACCGTAGTGCTGTGCGATGCCTGGTTCAAATAAACAACAGGAACCAGAAAATCAACCTGCGGAATATGCCAGGTTAGGGTCACAAAATGAAAGACGCTGGTTCCAGGCGTAGATAAGATACCGGGTGACAGGAGCAGTGGCAGATCGACAATCCGCCGATAAGGGTGCTAATTTGTCCAAAGTTTTGACCTGGCTTTGCCAATCATGCATCCGTTCAGGTGAACCTGTCACTGCATAGCTGGATGTCCGAGCCAGCGAACAAGCACCGAAAGAAGGCGTCTACTGGCACAAGGGAATTTGGACAGCGATATGCTTGGCCTCTTCCTTTTGAGGATTGGCCATTAGGGGGGGCCGGCAAGTTTGTGGGGCGAATTCGGAGGTGCCCAAGTGGGTGCAAAAAAAGAGCGCATGCTCTTCCCACCTCCACCACCCACACCACCTACCCAGCCATTTTTTCCCCCATCCATACCACTACTAATAGGCCACCTAAAGTTAGATACGCTAAAAAAAGCCTGCCTTTACAGCATATATGAATTTCTTAAATATGAGGGCCTTCTATATAAAAACCTTAATCTTTTTAGGTTTTTCAAGGTCTCTAAATGCACTAGTTATAAAGTACTAATAGGTACTACTAACTATAACTATATATTCTATAACAACCTAAATATTAAAGAAACCTAGAGCTATAAGTATAAAATTAATAATAATAACCTTAACTTTATTAAGGCTTTATATAATAATAAAAGCTTTAAGGTAAAAGCTATCCTATTTAACTATATACCTATTAAAGTAGATACTAAGTAATAACCTTAAGGCTAAATAGTATAAAAAGCTTTAAAGAAATATAAGATATATAAAGAGGTTACTTAGATAGTAAATTATATTAATAATAACCTTATTAAATACTATTTTAAGTATATAAAGAAGGCTTTTATAAAACAGCTAGAGCCTAAGTTATAAAATAAAGTAGTTTAGTCTAATAAGTACTATTTTAGCTTCTCTACCTAGGGTAGGGTTTATATAGCTTATAAAGAAGGTACTTATAATAATCCTTCTAATCTCTAAGAATAATATAAACTAAATAAATCTAAAAAGAAGCTTCTCTACTATTAAGGTACTAAAAGGTATAGCTTTAAGTTAAAGCTATATTAATATAAGATACTTATAAATAATAATAACAAGATAACTTAAGCTATATATATTAATAGGATCTTTAAACTATATATTAAGTAGTAGATTAAAGAGGCTTATAATAAAGGTAAGCACTTAATTCTTAAGGAGGATAATAATAATAGCTACAGCCTTAGTACTTATAACCTTATATAGGTATAAAAGCAAAAAATAGGCTTAGATCACTTTTTTAACTATACCTAAAGCCTTAATCTCTCACCTATTAAAAACATATAGCTAAAGCTAAAGGAGTAGCTTTACTAATAAGCCTATTAAGACCTAAAGACTATAAAAAAGATTATAGAAGATACCTAAAATAACCTTAAACCCTATATAATTAATTATTAGTATAGATTAATACCCCAGCATTTATAAGATGTAGTTAGATTAAACAGCAAATATATAGTATACTAGTTATAATGATGCGAAAGTAGTAGTAGTAGTGGTAGTAGTAGCATAGTAATAAAAAGTATGCGCTCTTTTTTTGCACCCGCATAGTGCCACCCCATTCAGTTGCTTGATCTGACGGACAACAGCCCGGCGTTCAATGCCAATCCAGACGACAGCGAGCTATTGCATGGAGAATCACTCGGTAGGCAGCTCGACTTTTCTGTTATTCAGTTACAGGGCTAAGGTGCCGAGACGTATGGGACATGCAGATTCAACGCCCTTTCTATGACACCGGTTGTATTTTCATTTTTCTTTTCCCAGTAAGACAAGAACGCCCACTTGTAATCCATGAATATTGTTTTGTACACATGCGCAATCAACGAGCTTCCTCAGTTGTGCTTGCCGAGGGGGCAAAATGTCCAAGACCACCAAAAAAGTGTCTTGACCTTAACGCTTAGCCGGCCCTTTAGCTCATAGTCAATTCGGGAAAGAATCTCGACAACTTGTTAGGATGGCCGAACTCAGTCCTGCTGTGGTTCTGGTCGTCGGGTGCTAACGAATCCGTGTCGCTGTCAATATTGGGCTGTACTTCTGGTGCAGCTCTCTTGACCTTTATGTTGCCTTGCACAAGGGGGCGGGATGTGCTGGTCTGCCCGCTCGATATGGTCACAATTGATCTTGAATCGGCTGGTGTTGACACTTCGTGAAGTGTACTGGGTGGCCTCGACTTAACGGCGAAGGATTGATCGGGTGTGTGGCTACGAGAAACACCGAATGGAATTATTGGTCCCAAAGTCTTCTTGGAAGCCTCGGGAGTTGGCAGGGGGGTCGCGGCTGGGCTAAGAAGAGACGAAATCTTCTCATTCGCAATCAAACCCTTCGTCTGAACAAACGCGCTGGACCTGACGTGGTATGGGCTTCGGTCGTAGTACTTGTCAATGATCGGATGAACCATGACAGTTTGGTTGTGGATAGTCAGAATGGAGTTGGTCGGAACGTTCACCCAATTTTCTGCTGCAATGTCAGTTGATTCCTTTGAGCTTCTAGTAGTCTGAAGTATACCTCTCTCGAACGTCAACGGCTCACTCGCAACCAGAACGATGTCGGCACCTTTGTCTCGGCGCTCCATCTGGTAGTTTCGATCATTAACAGCCGAGGTTCGCGTTCCCCATTCGGTGCCTGATGAGTAGTACAGACTGGCTGCCTCATCTGTTGCACTGCTTATATATCGAGTGCAGATGATGCTCTTGCCGTCGGTAACGGCAAAGTTGAGCAAACTTCGGGTGTCCACATTCTCCGACTGGATTGTGCTCTCCGGAATTTCGTCAATGAGCTCGTTGATCAGCGCAATAGTCTTCAGTAGAGCCTTTCGGAGCACTGTAGGACCGAATCCATTCGGAGGTTGGGAGCTGGGGTCGTGACCCATCCTCTCGAGGGTGTCGAGGAATAGGGCGAAGGCCCATTCGCTGTCTGTACCACCCTGAACCCCCAAATACCATTTATCGGCCAATCTTTGACCCAACCTTCTCTTGATGTACTTCCAGCCCCCGAGTCCCCCATTATGCATCCACATCAAGCTTCCGTGACAAAACGGGTGGCAGTTGTCTTCGCTCAAGGATCCTTCGGTGGTTGCTCGGACGTGGGCAAATATTAGCTGTGAAGCAGTCTTCGAGGCAATACGGTGAAGATTGGTGCAGTTCCAGGCGGGTATCGTGGAGGTGAAGAGACACGGCGCATGTCCAAGTTTTGGGTCGGTGTAGAAGCCAATTCCGAACCCATCGGCGTTGTTCTGGCCCCGTCTTGTGTCCTATTAGATCGGATAATGAGATTAGATATGTTCGCTACAGACGCTTTGGTACGAACGGAGTCAAACTCACCAGTCTTAGCCTCGAATCGAAGGACTGCTTCAAAATGGAATGGGTGGGATCGAGAATAAGCTTGGAGAGAAGAATCTCATCGCTTCCACGGTACACCTAGGCACAATTAGCATTATGCAGACCCTAGAAAGCTATGCGAAGAAGTACCAAGAATCGGCACATGGTGGCTGGCGTGCAAACTTAGGTGCGATGCCTGAGCTCAGAGATGTTCGGAGAGATCGATACGGCCAGGACGCGCAATGGTGGCGGGAGGGATGCGGACCGTCGTGAAACGACGACGAGGAAGCAAATAAGTAGAGAACGAAGTGTGGCAGCGGAATGGAAGATAAGCGGAGGGAAGACCCAGTCAAATATATTCTGTCTGATGAGCTATGGCGCGATCAGAAACCCCAGGGCAGTGACGCAAGTTGATAGGGATATGATCTGTAGCCCTCAGGATACTCTCCCAAGTCTTGGTAGAGAGTCGGGCTTCTTGTTGGGAACACAGCGTAGGGGATTGTCCTGGCCAGCTGATCTGGGCGGGCGGCAGCTGAGCGTCCGTGCTGATGGGGGAAAAGAAACAGCAATTTGGGGGAATGGACAATGCCGATGGCGCCTTCGGCTTGGCTCAAGCGTTCCTGATCTTCAGGGTGGTCTCATCCTCGTCAGTCGGGCTTGCAGATGGAGAAAGTACGTTGTTACAGTGAGTCATTTGGTCTGGGTCCGAAAAGCCAGAGTCGAGCAGTCGGGATGGCCACGGCGCCACGGGGCTCTTTAATCTAACGTCCAACGGCGACCTACGGAAACCTACTCAGCTGGTGATCGGAGGAGCTTCGGGGCGGGTGCGTCCCCGTCTACAAGCATGGAAAGTACACCGTGGGCATGCCTGTCTGAGGTACGTGATGATGCGATAAGCCTTTAAAGGAGTGCTAACAGCCCCTCCAGCATGCATCAAAGGGGGACAGACACTAAAATAGATAGCCAGCTACAAAGGTCGAGGAGAGGTCAAGCCCGCTCAAGTAGATACATGGCGAATTTAGTAGGCAAGGTACCTTTGTCAATGTGTTCCCCACCATTGCAAATGGGCTCTTCATGCAACTCGGTGTTGAGTGCAATTGCAACCCGCGAGAACCCGCTCTGTGAATACACGCCACTCTTTCGTGACAAGTCAACGGGTTTCTAGTTCCCCTCGTCTCCTCGACGACGCACAACTCCCCCACCGGAGACGAGATCACAACCACTCAATCCTGAAGAACCCGGCTTTGCCTTCACCAACCCTTCATTTCAATCATTATCGCATGCGAACAATCCGTCACCGACTTTCCATTATCGGGCCTCGTGCTTTGCCGGCAGCATGAGCGGACGCCTTCTTTCTGCAGGGCTTTTGCCCACGACGCAACGCGCCCCTGCTCAAGCCGTTCGCCATTTTCATCGGCTTCCTGTGGGTGGCCTTCAACGGGCCGACGCTGCTGTCCGGGCGACTCGACGCCGCATGTGGTTCCCGGGAAACGCTTTCCACAATGCTGTAATCGTCCGAAATGCCTCCTTTGCCCGATTCTTGCCAAAGTTGGTGGTCAAATTTGCCAGGATTCCTGCCATGTTCGGAGGGCTGGCTGTTGGAACACTCGCCTGGGTACAGTACCAAGCCAACCGTAAGATTAACCTCCCCTTCATGTTCCCAACTATCAACTGACGTTGCCGTTATCAGAGCTCACCACCAACGCGTGGGACTTCGTCGCCAAGACGGCAGATGGGGTGTCGGATACTGCAATAACCATCTTCGGTGGCGCAAAGGACATAGCGGATCAAACAAGGCGCGGATGGGAAAGCACCAAAGAACAGTTCGAAACGCCAGAATGGCTGCAAAAGGTGTTGAGACTCCACGAGGAGATTGGGACAGGAAAAGGCGGACATGAAGGACCGGGTGGGGAGCCTCCCAAACAGAGCAGAGCTGGCGCTGCTGCGGTTGTTGGAGCTTCGGCCGCGGCATATGGCTACGAACAGTCCGACGACGACCCCCGAGACCCCGACGAGATAGCCAAGGACGATCAGATGATGGTCTTGACGAAGAAGATGATCGAGATTCGGGGCATGCTTCAGCAAGTTGGACAGTCAAGCACTCTAACTCTGCCCTCTATTGTGGTCATCGGCTCCCAGTCCTCGGGCAAGAGTTCGGTTCTGGAAGCACTTGTCGGTCACGAATTTTTGCCGAAGGGATCCAACATGGTTACCCGTCGGCCGATTGAGCTGACTTTGGTCAACACCCCTGATTCAAAGGCAGAATACGGCGAGTTTCCGGACTTAGGCCTCAGACGCATCACAGACTTCTCTTCTATTCAGAGAACGTTGACCGAACTCAATCTGGCCGTCCCAGACAGCCAGTGCGTGTCGGATGACCCCATTCACCTCACAATCTATTCTCCGAATGTTCCAGACCTCTCTCTCATCGACCTGCCGGGCTACATCCAAGTCGCGGGGCAAGGTCAGCCGCTTGAGCTCAAGCAGAAAATCTCGGAGCTTTGCGATAAGTATATTCAGCCTCCAAATGTTATCCTGGCCATTTCTGCCGCAGATGTGGATCTCGCAAACTCAACAGCCCTGCGTGCAAGCCGTCGTGTGGATCCTAGGGGCGAGAGGACGATTGGAGTAGTCACCAAGATGGACCTAGTTGATGCTACTCGAGGCTCTGCTATCCTTAGTGACAAACAGTACCCCCTCAGGCTTGGCTATGTTGGTGTCGTCTCAAGAGTTCCCCAAACGGGTGGTTTGTTCAAGCGATCCGGCAGCATCCAATCGGCCATTGCCAAGAATGAGAGCGCATTCTTTTCTAACCACCCGCTTGAGTTCGGCGAAGGATCCGGAGTCAACGTTGGAACGATCAATTTGCGCAAGAAGCTCATGACTGTCCTTGAACAAACAATGTCCGCCAGCCTTCAGACCACGAGCGACGCCATCAGGCAAGAGCTCGAAGAGGCAACTTATGAGTTCAAGGTTCAGTACAATGATCGCCCACTTTCGGCCGAGTCCTACTTGGCGGAAAGCCTCGATGGGTTCAAGCATTCTTTCAAGAAATTCACAGAGGAGTTTGGCCGCCCTGAAATGCATGAGTTGCTGAAGCAGGAGTTGGATCAGAAGGTTCTTGACCTACTCGCAGCCAGATACTGGAACAAGCCCATCCAGGACTTATCTCCTGCCCGACCCGACCTAGACAACCTTGCAGATCTTCCCAAGGCCGACCCAAATTCACTGTACTGGCACAGGCAGCTCGATGCGTCTACGTCCTCCCTGACAAAGCTTGGAGTGGGAAGGTTGGCAACCACTGTGGTTGCTTCATCTATTCAGTCTCAAATTGACGCTTTGATCAAGAGCTCGACGTTCAGCAGCCACCCCTTTGCCCGGGAGGCTATCATGGATGCTGCGTCGACCATTCTTAACGAGAGGTTCTACAGTACCAGCGACCAGGTCGAGAACTGTATCAAACCTTACAAGTTCGAAATCGACATTGATGAGAGAGAGTGGACCCAGGGTCGGGACCACTCGGCTGTGGTGCTGAAGAAGGAGCTTCAAGATTGTGAAGGCGCTCTAAAGGGCATCGAAGACACTGTCGGCGGCCGAAGGAAGCTTAGAGAGGTTATGAACTTCGTGGACCGTGCCCGAAAAGGCGATGTTGTTGTTGAAGGGGATGGACGAAGCGGTGCTGGAGGCTTCAGTGCGGCTCTTCTTGCAAGAGGTGAGTTCCATATGTAAAAAATCATCGGAAAACACTGTTAACATCGACCAGGACGCGAGGCTGTGTTCCTCAGGGACCGCGCAGACATCATCAAGATGCGCCTGCTGGCCGTCAAGTCTAAACAATGCGCAAACCTGAAGAACAAGTACTACTGCCCCGAGGTGTTCCTTGATGCGGCAGCTACCAAGCTGGCTTCGACCGCAGTGCTCTTCCTTAACGTGGAGCTCCTCTCAGAGTTTTACTACAACTTTCCCCGGGAGCTTGACCTTCGCCTTGGCAGACACCTTTCAGACGCCGAGATTGAGAAGTTTGCCAAGGAGGATCCCAAGATCAGGAGACACCTCGAGGTCATCCGTCGCAAAGAGCTCCTCGAGTTGGTTCTTGAGAAGATGGAAAGTTTGCGGCAGCTCGAGGGCCGTGAGCGAGAGCGGCAGCAGGGCGGCAGACCCAGCAAAGACGACAAGCAGAGGGGACGCTGGGGGCTATTTTGAGGACAATTCCCTCAGGTCTGTAACGTGTTATGACTTGGACGCAAAAAGGAGTTGCGGTGTTGAAAGATAGCCTTCTGGGACGAACTGGTCCGTCGTGTTCCAGGCCTGTTCTATTCACAAGTCTTTGGTATTTTGTACACAACGGTATATAGCAAGAAGGACGGATACCCTCCTCGACTCGACCTCCTGAAAGAAATAGATTTTCACTCTCGACTCTTTTCCCGCAACCTGACGAATGTCTACGCATTGAGATGCCCATCCAATAGAACGCCCGATGAACTAAACACGCCCGTCACTGTCCAAACTTCATCCAGTTGCGTCAATGCTCGTCTGCAGAGTAACCTCCCATCTCAGACTCGTGCCCCGACCGTATCCTTCGCCTAGCCTGTTCTGTATCAGAGTTGATATCCGGCTGCGTAGCTTGCTAATCGTACCCTCATCACAACCCTTGGCCACGCAAATCTTGAGGTTAGCCATGCACAATCCGTAGTGCACCTGCCAGAACTGCGCGTCTTCGATGCGTGTGACGCCAGGTTCTGCCTCAATCTCCCGCACCACTGAGGTCACGCCCTCATTGCCTCCATTACCGCCGTACGACATCAGCAGCATCATAGCCTGGGCCATGGCCAGTTTGGCGCCGAACAGGAACATGGATGCCGCAATGGCCGCACACAGCGTCCGGTCGAGCCAAATATATGTCTTGATGGACAGGAGGGGAAGCAGAAGCAGCAAGCTGGAAAAGAAGACGGTAAGGAAGTGAAAGATGTTCGAAAAGTGGGTAGGAAGTCCGGCGAGCCATGATACTCGCATGATTCTAGCAATGCGCGCGTGATTCTTTAGACCATACGCGGAGATGGCCGTGCTAGCAATCGCGGCGAAGGCGGCCCAGTCTACCTCGCCGGCTGACACACGTTCATGAGCATGTTCATGATGCGGCTCGTGTCCGCCCTTTGTTTCGAGCCAGTGCTTAAGATTGTGTGATACGAGATCGAAGCCGCCAAACAGCAGGAAAATCGACATTGCAAAACCGGCGAGAACCTCGGCCCTTTCAAGACCGAAGGGGTGGCGGATGCTGCTACGGCGCCAGACTTCGAAGTTACCGAGTACCTCAACGGCGACACACACGGCAGCACTCCCGGCGTCGAAGAAGACCAAGTGGGATAGAGCCATCATGGCCAGCGAGCCTTCAGAGATGAAGAACAGCCAGGACGCGACGGCCAAGTGGCACAGGCTCCAATAGAGCCGGGCGCGCTGGTCGCGAGACATGCTCTTCCATGCTTCGCGAACGGTCGGGACGGGAAGGGACGCAGGTAGAACGGGGGGCGGACGTTGAGGAGGCTCTTGGAAGATCTGGTGTTGTGTCGATATCGAACTGTGCTTGTATCGATGGCCGCGGCGCTGGCCGATATTCTGCGAGAGGCCGGTGTCAGTGGTCGAGTAAAGATGCGAAGATGACGAGGCGCGCATCATGATGAGCGATATCTCTCCGCGCGAAGCTGAACATACCGACTTGACAGGCGAGGTCGAGATGACCTGCGTCTGAAAGTTGAAGGGGCTCGGGACGGTAGAGCCCCCAGCGGAAGGAGGGTCGTCTTCGGCCATTGCTGCAGCGTCCGGACGAAGCAAACCGAGTTTCAGGTTCGGCGAGGGAGCCAAAAGACCGGATTTCGATGTCGTTGCTACGTGAGGGAGGCTGCTACGGTCGGAGGCCGCGTCGTTGTCAAAGTCGACCGTCCGACGGGCGTCGTCACCAGCGATGTTTATAGATGGACAGGCGATTTGGGAAGGTGGAAGGACGAGATGGGGTGCACTGCTATCGCTGTTGACGTTGCCGTTTTCGGGACTCGGTGGGGTGGCAGGTCGTCTTGGAGGGGTGGACAAGCGTGCAGATGCAGGGCTGGAAGCCATGGGCCCGTCTTGCCGGCGGTGTCGCCCGGCGCTTGGCTGTTCAATAGCGAAGGATGGCAGCCAGGAACAGTGGGAGCATAAACAGGGTCAATGGCGGCGGCTTCCGATAGTCGCCAGCATTTATGGTATGGGGAGGCGGGAAGGGAGACGAAAGAGACTGAGTGTGCGTGGGTGGGTGGGTGTCGTGTGTCGTGTGTCGTGTGTCGTGCGAAGTCTGTCAGGCAAGAGACACAAGGATGAGATGGGACGAGACGAGCAATCATTTACATAGAACCGCCCAGCGCCTCAACATTAGGGGGACTGTGATGGATTTTACTGTACCTTACGGAAGGGGGAAAAGGCTTCAACCTATCTACCTTATACACATGAGGGACGACCCAGACAGCTTCCCCCACACTTCAGCTTCAGCCGTTTTTGGGGCCACTCTGCCAGGGACATGGCACTCTCTTCAGATTAGTACTCCGCTGATTGCATGTGATGCGTATTAGAGTTATTTCCCTTAGATACATGGGAGATTTGAGAGATCGTGGCTGCTCCAACACCCACTTTCCGCCATGGGCAGACGGGTCACTGGACCGCGTATTCGCGGCCCTTGTCTAGGCAGGGACCTGGCTAGGTAACTTGGCGATCCAACAAACCACCTCGCTTCAGTTCAAGATGCAGCTAGGCTCTGTACAGCCAGAAGGCCTTTTTCTCTCTCTCTCTTGTCTTTCTCGCCGGTCTTTCGTTGACCGCACAACAGTGAAAAGAGAAGCATGTAGCTTGGCAGCGAACTGAACTCCGACTCGAAAACAGTCTCAGCCTCCCGTCCGTCCCATCTTTGTCTTCCGCCCCCAATTCCGACCAATACTCTCCACTCTCTCTACCGGGGCCAGCCTTGTGCGATAAGGGATTATCGCAGTTGGATGCAACACACAATGGAGCGAACTGCGTCCGCTGCTGCCGCCGCCGATGATTACGACGACGACGGCGACGGCGAAGTCATTTCTGTAGATGTGACAAAGTCAACATCACCAACGGCTGGTCTGCCTGTCCATCCCCAGTCGCAAACCCAGCTCCCGAATAATCCACATCGACGTACGGTGTCTGGCGCCAGTATACTTTCCAAGCTCCCCTTTATGCGCTCCCTCTCAGACGGGAAGCCACCTCACGAAGCCGAGCAAGACGCAGCGCACTCGGCGTCGGCATCCATGTCAACCACTACTCAACAGAAGTCGAGAAGACGGAAAGGTTCCCTTAGGAAGGTTGCCCTTCTAGGAAGAGGTGCGCAGAGGGAGCGTAAGGAGGCGAAGCAGCTCACCATCGACACATCGCATAGTATCTCTCGTGGGGTGGAAAACACGGAGCATCGATCCCAATCACCACCCACAAGTACGACTGCCACAACTGCAACGACAGCCGGGCACGATCCTCTTGGGCTCAATATTTCGGACCTCACCCCTCGTCCTTCCATGGACGGCTACGCGAGCAGGTCGAGTCTGGCCGAGTCTTCCGTTTCCTCGACAAGCCCTCCTCAGCCAAACGAGAACGAGTCGAGCATAACAAGTCCGACGATATCATACACATCTACCACGGACGAAGACGACGTTCTACATATCCCAAACCATATACCGTCACCTTTACGGCCAGACCTGTCGCTGTCGTCGGGCGCCGAATCGTACTTTGCGAGTCGGAGGCGTCGCTCCATCTTACAAGCCAAATCACCACTCTCGTACAGTGGTTTGTCAAGTACACCACTGCCGCCTGCTGATGCGGATTGGGACTATTCAGACACGGAATGGTGGGGATGGGTCGTCCTGATGGTCACGTGGGTTGTCTTTGTGGTGGGAATGGGCTCGGTTCTGGGCATGTGGAGTTGGGCGTGGGATGTTGGGACGACGCCGTATGCCCCTCCGGAGCTTGAAGATGATCCAACGCTGCCCGTCGTGGGCTACTATCCAGCCCTCATCATCCTGACCTGTATCATGGCATGGGTGTGGGTTGTTGTGGCCTGGGTCGGTATGAAATATTTCAGACATGCCAAGATTAGCGGCGATTAAACAGCCGCGCATTGCCTACCAGCATCTTGACAGCATTGATGATTGGTGTAGCAAGCATCGAATAGGGATGGAGGCTCAAATCTGAAGAAGCGTATCATTAAAAAGCACACGTTCTGGTACGAAACCAGAAAATTCATAACCCAGCAAGCGTTGTCAGTAAGTCATGCTCATTGCAATTATCCTTCTAAGCAGCCTCAAGGGCAGTAGTGTCCACATATCGATCAGGAGCTATCCTCCGCTCTGTACCGGGAAGCTCAAAGGACGTTAAAGCATGTCATCACAGAGGAATGGACGTCACGAAAAAAAGCCCCAAGCTTGCGGTGGCCCATTCGAAGGCGACGATGCCACTCAGGTGGTCTAGAGCTGCCGAGACTGGTTATTCAGCCCGCCAGCTCGTTTGCCCATATCATGACGCGAAAAAACAGGTGCCTTTGAAGGAACAGACGCGGCTAACCAAGGTTGACGATTCAAACGTTGCGATTGCCAGGCTGTTGGGCTGTTGGGCTGTTGGGTTGTTCAGCGGATGGAAAGGCTGGAAGCGAGAGGCCCCACTGTCTGCGCGTAATGAAAAGAATGAGCTTGCCAGCCTCTGAGCGGAGAACAGGGATCAACGGACCGCATCTCCTCAGATCTCGGTGGTGGGGGTGGTTGGTTTTGGGGATCTCTCTGGAACACCGAACACCGGGCCAGCTTGTTGCGAGAACGAAGAGCTGTCAGACGTGGTATCAGGGACTGGTGTATGCGTCCACACTGACGTTCGGGGAGGTAGACGGAGCTTCAGCTCAGCCTTATTGGATACAGTTGGCAGCACACGTGTCGAACCGGTGCAGAACTCGCTCACAACTCACGCGACCACACGCTGAGGTAGGGAACAACGAGAAGAGAAGCTCAGGAGGATGGTTATCTCAAACAATCATGTCAGCAGCACGCACGCTCCCAGGCACAGCGACCAGATGGCATTGCTTCGCTCATGCCTTCGCTGCCAGAAACCAAGCTGGGTCGATGAAGGCGATTCTACGGGAGCTTGCTGGGCGGCGTGTTGTGAGGTGGGGG